TCTCCATCCCACACACAGGGGCAGGTGGGGCCAAGGCTGGATTAGATTCAGGTGCGCGGCCTCAGGTGGGGACTCTCTGCAGGTGAGGCTGTGGGCTCCGAGGCCCCGGGAAGGCCGGATGTCAGGGTGTCCTTTCTTAGCGAGGCCAAGTTCGGGCGCTTGGAGAAGGTGGTGTCAGCCAGCTCTCTCCATCATAAAGGTGAGTTCAGGAGCAACTGTGGGGTAGCACTTTGTCACCTGTTCTCCACAGCCTTCTCCCATGTTCTGGGGACAGCCACAAGACAAGGGACGTCAAAGACAGCCAGCAACCACCAGGCAGCTGGTTGGAAAAGGCATTCTTAAACAAAAATGAAAAAACTCAAAGTTTAAGTTAAAAGAAAGATAAGTGTGATAACATCAAAACGAATGCCTCTTTCCAATGAAGTACAATATAATGAACAGGAAGCTAGGAGATCTGGGGGGAGACACTGGAAATATCGGCAGCTGACGGGGGACACAGTTCAGGAACACAGGGGGCGGGGAGAAGATAGCAACGCTCGGGGGAAAGGATGGTCGCAACTTACAGAGAGAGAGACCCAGAGACTGACAAGAACAGCAAGAAATACGTCATCTCATTCGTAGTCAGAGAGAAGTAAACCATGTCATTATAGCCTTGTTATACCGAAAAAAAAAAAAAAAAAGTTTAAGAGCCAGTGGAAGCCGAGTGCTGGCCTGGACGCAGGCGCCGAGCGGACTTGCAGAGGGAGTGCGGGCCGGGGCGGCCGTCCTGGGGAGAGTTTGGTGGTGTTTCTTAAAAGTGAGTCTGCGCGTCCTGACCAGTGTGGCTCTGTTGGTTGGGCAGCGTCCGACAAACTCAAGGTTCAATTCCCGGGTGGGGCACATGCCCGGGTCGCAGGTTTGGGCCCTGGTCAGGATTCACACGAGAGACGACGGATCAATCAATGTTTCTATCTCACATCAACGTTTCTCTTTTTCTTCCTCTCTCTAAAAATAAATAAGTAAAATCTTTTTAAAAAGCGAGTTCTGTGCACAATTTTCGGAGGTGAAGAGAGATGTGTGTAGCACGGTGGACGTGGTGCACAAATGTGTGCGTGTGTGCAAGCCATCAGGGCGCGTGCATGAAGCCCTGGCTGGCGTGGCTCAGTGGACTGAGTGCTGACCTATGAACTAAAGGGTTGTGGGTTTCATCCCCAGTCGGGGCACGGGCTCCGGTTGCAGGCCAGGTCCCCAGTGGGGGGTGCATGAGAGGCAGCCACACACTGATGTTTCTCTCCCTCTTTCTCCCTCCCTTCCCTCTCTCTAAAAATAATAAATAAAAAAGATGTACGCATTAAATGTGAGCGATTTTTTGTCTATCAGTTATACCCCAACAGAACTAAAAAAGAAGAAACGTCCCCAAAACAACCAAACAGTGACAGCGTGTGCACTCTCTGACCCCCACTGCCACCTCGCGGCGCGCGCCCCGAGTTCTCAGCCAGGTCCAGGGGAGAGCAAGTACGGTGGCTTCTGTCACGGCACAGTGCCCGGTGGCACCGTGGGTGCCCTTCCCTGGGAGAGCGGCGGGCACACCAGGGCAGGGGGCCTGCGCGAACGGCATCAGCAGCTGGAAGCTCCCGCCTGGGAGTCCGCAGAGCCCTGAGCACACACTGAGCTTCAGAACGCAGTGCGGAGTGGGGACAGCGAGCAGCAGACCGGTGACAGCGTCTGTCACCGTGAGGTCAAAGTGCGTGCATGCATCTGCGTGCCTATATGACCGCGTGTGTCATTTTAGTCCATTTGGACACAGTGCTGAACAGCGAGGGGATGAGGAGGAGATTGGAGGGCTCTGGGGACCGCTCTCGGGGGGCATGTGTGGCTGCCGAAGGCAGGGTGACTAGTGGGGGCTGCCACACAGAAGCAGAAAGGCCCTCGTGACTGGTGGGTCCCTTAAGTGGGCCTTCACACATCCTGGCCTCTGCAAGGCCGTTTGTTTGCCAGGGACAGAAACCCAAGGGAAACCAGCACCGCCAAACAGAGTCACCGACTCATGGGACTTGGAAGACCAGGGCGAAGCTGGTCCTGGGGACTCGGGAAACTTGGGGGACGGCAACCACGCTCCTCTGTCCATCTCTGTCTCTTCGTGTCTCTTTCCCCTTCGGGCGGGACTCCTCACGAAGCGTGGTGTAGAGAGGCCAGGGCGAGGGTCACAGCTTCTCATCCCAGCTCAGGGGCCCCAGGGGGGAGGACAAAATCTCTGTTAGATCAAGACCCAGGCAAGGACCCTGACCGGAACAGCTCAAGTCACATGTCCAACTGTGGGCCAATCACTGTGGCTGAACGATGGGTCTCCATCACCTAGGCCTTGTCCAGGGGCCTGTGGCCTGAGGGTGGTGCTACAGGTGTCCACAGGACAGAGAAGGGGAGACACTGCACAGGTGGGGAAGCTTCAGGGTGGTGCGCGTAGGGCGGCGGTCTAACATCCGTTTGGCAAGGGACCGAAATCAACCCCAGAAAAATGGCAACTCTCTGGGCAGCCAGACTGGGCAGTGGCTGGAGACAGCGGCAGAGCTGCCTCTGCCTGTCCCTTCTGGCCTCTTCTCACCCGCCGCTGGTGGCCCAGAGCGAGAGAACAATCCCGTGTTCTTCCAGATGCTGCATAAACATCAGGGGCGTGATATGGCCCCTTGAAAGCAGGGGCTGATGAGCACCCCGTTGCCGCCCTCTCTCCCACAGAGAAGGACATTCCAGCAGGATGAGGGCACCAGGCCAAGGAAAGCTGACAGTGGGGAGGGGGTTCCTGGGTCAGGGCTCTGGTGCCTGTCCCCTACCTCCCACCCTTAACCCGAACTGTCCCCATCACAGGCGGCGTCAGGAGTCTCTGAGTGTACCCGAGTCCCTGCCCTGCTGTGAACACAAAGGTGGGTGGACAAGGGGAAGTGGGACGCCCCAGACCCTCCCGCTTCTCCCCCAACCTTCCCTTCTCTGGCCCGCAGGTGGACTCGACCATGGTGGCCACACAGCAGTTAGCCTTCCATGAACTGATGCTGGGCGTGACGAGGGCTGGCCATGAGTGCAGGTAACACAGTAGAAACACTGACATCGATTGAACTGGGCTCTACACTAGTGACATGTCTGGCTGTGTGTGATGTGCACTGTTGAGGGAAAAACAAGGATGGGCATTATACCTCGGAATAACGGTTCCATACCATGGGTACAGTGATGGGCATATTCTGTGTATGATGCGCACAAAAACCATGGGTGTGCACTGTACACTGTAAAATACAGGATAAAATCTCATTGAATCCAACCAAACCTCCATTAGGTTGGCATCGTTATTACCCTTATGCTGCAGGTCCCCCCGTTAGTACGATGGTAGAAGCCTGCATCCACACTCTGGTCTGTTTGGATCAAGAACTCTTGATTTCTCCCAGCGTCTCCATAACTGTGTGTGACTAGGGATGTACACCCAGCTCCACGCTCACCTGCCCCAGAAGGCAGCATGGTTATAAAGGTGTGCACTGCCCAAGGGCCCCAGGAGGGCTGGGGCTCTGCTCACAGGGGCTCTCGGCCTGGAGGGGCTGCCTTTTTCTAATTCTCACCAAGACAGCACACGGGCCAGCAGCAGCTCTCTGACAAAGCCCATCATGAGGCTGGCCACTCGCACAGCAGGCCCCTTCCATCATGCTCCGCCTTGCACACTGTGACCCGACTGGTTCCCATGACAAAACCTGTTTTTCCCACAACTCACCCAGCATCTTCCTGCCTCCAAGCCCTTGCGTCTTAGGTTCTCCTGGCCTGTTTCTTCCCAACCGCCTCCCTCATCTCATGTGAATAAAACCTGCCTCTCCTGCCGTCAGTCCAGCCAGTTGGGGTGGTGGACACACAAGGCACAGAGGACGTGTTACAGAACCGTACACTGAAACCTGTATCATTTCATTAACCAATGTCACCCCAATTTTAAAAAAAGAACGGATCACCAATGGGGGCGTACTCCCACCATAAAGTACTGTAGTGCAGTGAGAGGGACCTGTAACCACGGTGAACAGTACAGGTGAATCAATGAGCATTAAAAAAAGACCCAGCAGGATGCCCACGCCTTTCAGGCACCACGGGAGGCCTCACCTTGCGTTCTGCCTCCACTCACCTGCTTTGCATCTGGCACATTTATTTATTTTCAGAGAGAGGGGAGGGGAGGGGGAGGAGAGAGAGGGAAACATCCTGTGGGAGAGATATCAATCAGTTGCCTCTTGTAGGAACCCCAATAGGAGACCAAACGAAAAACCCTGGCCTGTGCCCTGGATGGGACTCGAACCTGTGACCTTTCACTTTGCAAGATGAGGCCCAACCAACTGATCCACACCAGCCAGGGCAAGGGGTTCTGATTTTAAAGCCACCTACTCTAGGGAGGATTTTTTTTTTTTTTAAATCGGTTGATATTTTGTTTCCCTGCATTAATCAATTTGACTCAAACTCATAGAAATTTTCTTAAATAAATAAATAAAGCTGCCTGCTCTGATTAGGGTGGCTTCCAGAAACCTGGCGACCAGGTCTGCAGCGTCAGTAGCCCGAGGGCAGCACCCAGCGGTTCTTCGCAGCCCACAGGTGGGCTTTCCGCAAACGCTGTGCAAAGGTTAGGGTACCCTGGTGCAGCGCCTCCGTGATGCCCTGCAGCGCTGCCACTCCTGTAAGACTGCACCGCGGGCCCCCCACCCACGCGGGCCCTAGCAGCTCTCTGGGATACCGGACCGCAGCTCTAAGGCCGGCCACCCGCTCTGTCACGGACACAAGCCCAGGAAAGACGGCAGGCACCCCAACCACACCCTGCCCCGCGAACTTGTTTACGCCTCTCGCACTGCCCCTCCTGCCCGGCCAGCCGGGCCACGTGACTCCGCTCCACCTCACGCCCTCTGGCATAGCTCCTCCCACCCCGCCGGCCCTTCTTTTTGCCTCCTTCAGAGTCACAAGATCTCTCAGTGGTTTTATTTGGGGATCCTTCCGCTCGTCCCCGCCCCCCGCTACTTTATAAACTCTCCTCGTTATTTCTTGACTGGTCTCCATTATCATTAATGAGAAGCAAGGCCTCTTCAGTCCAACGGGGCTGCGGACGGTAGTCGTCTGTCGTTGGGCTCGAGGGAGAGGCGAGACCCCGCTGGGGACTCTTTGTCCTGGCGGAGGCTGCGGCGGGCCGTGGTCATTTCACGACGGGGGAGGTGCTGTACGTCCAAGATGGCGGCGCCCTGTAGGCTGGAGGAACTGTGAGGTAAACAGCTGAGGGGGAGGAGACGGTGGGTGAGTATGGGGGTGTCGCCCCCTCCTTTCCATGGGGGCTTCTCGGGGCTGCCCTGGCACCTTGACCCCCGGCGGGGAGGCCCTGGGGGGCGGGGGCAAGGGGCTCCATTGCAGAGGACGGGACCCTGGGAAGGGGGATTCGCAGACCTTTCCCCTCTCTCTCATTACGCGCTGTCTCCGGTGGGCCCGGCTGGGTTGGCGGGTCCCTGGGATGGAGAGGCGGGCCCGGCCGGCACTTGGCCCTCCTCGGCGCTCTGCGGGGCGGACGGATGCACGCCCGGGCCGCAGCGCCCAGGGCGGGGGGCAGGTGAGCCCCCCCGCCAGCCCTTCGCTCGGGGTGGCGGTGACAGATTCCCGCGGGGTGCGGAGGGCGGCGGGGCAGGCCCGGCTGGCGGGGCGGGTCCCGGGGCTCGTCGAGAGGGGCTGGGGGTGCGGGAGAAGAATGGAGGCTGCCTGCGGGCGGCGGGGCCGCGCGGGGCCGCGGGGGCGCCTGTGGGCGTTTGATTGACGGCGAGAGACAGTTACCTCGAGGCGGCCGCGGCGGCTCTTCGGAGACGGCTACGCGCAGAGCCGCGGCCGGGCGCTCATTCATTCATTGGAGGAACCGGAGGGCGCGGGGCTTGCAGTCGAGCGAGCTTTTCCAAGGGGCGCTGCTCCTGGGGTTTCCCGTGCAGGAGTTTCGCTGGGCGTGTTTCGTGCGGACGGGGGGGTGTCTCGGGAGGGGGCGCGGTGCCCCGAGGACAACCGCTCACCGTTTCGGGGTGCTCCCTGGGCCAGCGCTCTGCTGCAGCCGTCGCCTCCTTGGTCCTGGCGGCCCAGGGGCGAGGCGGCCACCGTCACCCCCGCCATTCCGCAGAAGGGGAAACTGAGGCCCGGAGAGACCAGGCAGGCGCCGAAGGCCTCCTCTCGCAGCGTCCCAGCCGGGACCGGGGTCTCCCTGACGCCGCGACCGTGGACCTGCTCCGTGTTCGTGCCCACGTGACTGTCTCCCGTGTCTGTCGGTCCATCACAGCTGGCCCGTCCGTCTCACCAAACTACGAGAGTGAACCTGGGCCGCCGGGGCCCACGTTGGCGCCCACGTGCCCGTGTGTGTGTTGTGTTTGGAAGAGGGGCGCGTTTGCCTCTTTGCAGGCCTCAGCTTCTGTGCAGCCGGCCGGCCTGCGCGGAGACGGCTGGTCTGGCCTGGAAAGTAGCGGGTGTTTTTCTAAAAGGGTGAGTTGGCTGCAAAGACAAGTTTGGCTAAAATACCCTTGCTGGATTTTTAATAGAAAGCATAGAAATAGCACTTAACTTTACATGGAGTGTGCTGTAAAAGTACTGAAATAGAATGGTTCTCCTTTGAGATACTTCGATTGGTAGTTTTGGGGTCAGCTTGGAGCCGTCTGAACACAAACGTGCGAGCACAGTGGAGCTGCGGATTTGAAGAAGCATTAGGAAACCGGGTCTTTTGGGAGCCCTTGCCAGGTGGAGCAACCACCTGTGATTCTTAAGTTGAGCATTCCCAAGCAAACCCGGAGTATGCCAACGTAGAAGTGGATTGCGGGCTGTGCAGGGAAGCGGGTCTGTAACAGTCACACAAATGACAGTGAGACAGCATTGGCAGTGGCCCTCGGGGAGCTGCAGACTCGCCCACCTAACCACCTGGTGTAGACCTAGGGGGTGTTCGTAGAAGATGTAAATGGAAAAGACACTCTTACTGAAGTTAATGTCTCATCCCAGACACTCTGACGTCACGCGCTGGGAAGGCCGGCGATGTAAGCTTTCTTTGCTTCTCTGGCATCGTAAAGACTGGGTGCGCTCCAGAATCCCTGGTGAGGGTCCCTGGGCTTGGAGCAAAGACCTCCTACACTGCTGCTGCTTGCTGGTGTGGCCACGGTCCCTTCTGTGCGTGCCCGGTTGGTCTTACTAGGACACATCAAACACGTGTCTGTCCGTGATGTGTTGACCCAATAACGAGGTGGCAGGCACCGGAGGCCTCCAGCAGTGCTCATGCGGACCCCCGCTGCAGGTGGCAGGCCCTGTGGTGGGGGGACCTGCAGATGCCGTCTGGGGGACGCCCTGAATGTGCACCTGTATTTTGGGAGGAGTCAAAGGTGACTGATGTGCACCAGATGTTGAGGACTGATGCCTTCAAGCTTCGGTTTGGCTGTTTTTCTTTGAATTTGTAACTCACTGCAGGGCATTTTAAAAATAGCTTCTAACCTCCGGTGTGTGTGGAGTGGGGTGAATTCTGGTCTCCGAATCACAACTGGCTGGATGTCACGGCTCCGGCTCCTTTTAAAGTTTGTTGGGGTGCAGGCGTGCTCTCTTCCGGGTCCCAGGGCCATGGTGGGCTAAAGTCACTTCTCCTGGAGTTAATTGGAGTTAGTTGGGGTACAGAAGAGCCAGATACAGCCATGTATCAGCCATTTCAAGCTTTCCAAAAGTCAGATAGCTTTCAACTTTGGACAAGTCACTTCAATTCTCTGAGCCTCAGTTTCTTCATTTGTGAAATGAGTTAGTTGGATTGTAAATGAAAGTATTCCTAAATGTGATGTTCTGTGACTTAAGCCTCTCCTGCTGCTTCAGTTAAATATTCTGAGTAAATTGGTTGAACCAGCATCAATGGCTTTATAATATCTAAGCAAATTGGTGACTTTTAGCTTGACCTGTTCAGTGGTGACCAGTTTATCTTTTCCTTTATATCACATTATTTAATAAAAATTTTTAAATTTATTTTTAGAGGGGGGCAGAGGAGGCAGAAAGAGGGAGACAAACGTCAGTGTGAGAAATATGCAAGGGATACATCCATCTGCTGCTTTTTGTACCCCCCACCCCCTCAACTGGGGAGCTGGCCCACAACCCAGGCATGTGCCCTGCCTGGGAATTGAACTGGTGACCTTTCTGTTTGCAGGTCAGCGCTCATTCCACTGAGCCACACCAGCCAGGGCTATATCACATTATCTTTATTTTATTTTTTAAAAAATATTTTATTTATTTACTTTAGAGAGACAGGGAGGGAGGGAGAGAAACATTGATGTGTGAGAGATGCATTGACTGGCTGCCTCTCACGTGCTCCCAGCCAGGCACCTGGCCCACAACTCAGGCCTGTGCCCTGACTGGGAACCAAACCCGTGACCTTTTGGTCTGTAGGCAGGTGCTTAATCCACTGAGGCACATCAGCCAGGCTGTGTTACATTATTTTTATAAGGTGATTTCCTTGAAGTTTCTCATATTATAAATCTCTCTTTGCGAGGTTAGTTTTGTTTGTCATTGAAGTAGCTGCTGCCATGAAAGAAGAGCCCACTCAGCATTCAGACCTGCAATCTGAGTGTATAGTATATACGCAGACACTGGGCCTTTTCCATGATTGTTAAATAGAACTTAGTTTTCATGAAAGACTCATTTTTCCTTTGTTAGGTGGGTCTGAAAGAGGTCTGCCATCAGCAGTTTTCTGATCTCTTGTGCTTGTAGTTATTAGAAATTAATGTCTCTTTTGGGGGAAGAATAAACAAGCCATTACCTAGTCATTCATTCCCAGGACTGCTGTTTCTTTCTTCGTCCCTTTTCCTGTGCAGTACTCACCTTTGTTCTATATGGTGAAGTAGTAAAGGGTACCAAATACTTTTAAAGGTTGAATGAATTCAGATTGGCATCTGATGAGTAAAGTGCCTTGGAAAGCAAGCAAGGCACGGTGGTTACTGGCCTAGACCTCACAGGTCGCTGTGTAAAGATAGTGGCAGGCGAGACCCCGGAGTGTTTGAGTGATGAGGGCCAGTGTGCCCTTCTGCTGGTGAGGGCAGAAGACACGGAGGCGAGTGATAAGGGAGAACAACTGTGCTGACTGACCTTCACGTCTCTGGTCTGGGAGCCCTGGCTGCCGGACACAGTAACTGACACCAAATGTATACGTATAAGTTACAGAAGGGCCTTATCAACGTTTCGAATACCAGTTGTTGAACTGATAGACTGCTGACACTTATGTATCCAGCAATACATTTTGTAGTAATATTTTTATAACAGAGTTTGCATTTATTGAGTACTTATTAGCCAAACTCTATTCTCATGTCTTGCACATACGATCCCATTAAATCTTCCCACAGCCTTAAGAGACAGGATGGGGAGATGCGGAAACCGAGGCCCGGAGGCACTTACACAGTGGCCGAGCTGGGGTTTGAACCTTGCTGGTTGAGCCCAGAGCCCCAAATTTAGTATTTCACTATGTTCAGCGGGCTGACCTGCAGTCTCATAATCTAACTCATAGGTCAGTGGTTCTTAACCTTTTTTTTTTGACGGGGGAGCTCAGTTCCCCTCTGAAAATCCAGGGAAACTGCACCACATACCCCTCCCCATCCTATCACCACCAAGAAGATGTACAGAGATGCGACTTCAGGAGCCTCTCAGACCCAGCCTGGAGCTCAACGCACCCTTCTAGGTCAGCGGTTTTCAGCCTCTGTCGTCTCATGCGCGCACAGACGAATTACTGAAATTCTGTAGCACACGAGAAAAACCCACATTTTTTGCTGACCTGACTGAAAAATAGGTATAATTTTGATTCATTCACATCAGGTGACTATTGTGTGGGCTGTTGTCATTTTTTTTATTTGACCATCTAAGGGAAAATAGGTTAGTGCCCCTGACTAAATGGTCAGGTACTGCATGTTTCAACAACTCTTGGGGTGGAGTGGTGAAAAATTGCTCTTCTAGATAAATTATTGCTCTTAAAAATGGATTTGGGCTTTATTAAAAGCAGTGTGTCTGTCTGTCTGTCTGTCTGTCTCTCTCTCTAACTGGTAGGTAGGAAAGACCCAAGTCTCTTAAAGATGAGACCATGTACTGTTTGTATTATAAATTACATTTTCAAACTTTTATATTGAAAGATTTGTTACACTTCACTGGAAATCAGCTTTAGGTGCCACATTAAAAAAAATCCGCAGCAGAGAGCTCAGGCTCCCAGCCTGCTACGTGCCCACCGGGGCTGGCGTGCAGTCCGTGCTGCTGCCTGTGGCACCTGGCAGAGTTCCACTGGGTTTCTCCCAAGGATTATGTACTGTTTTTTTCCCTTTGAACCTCAAAGTACACATAAAAATACATATTTAATGTTTCTTGCCTTCATCCTTTTTTCTTCTTCCTGAACTAGCAGTTCTCAACCTGTGCTGGGCATCAGGATCACCTAGGAGACCCACTCCCGAAGTTTCTGATTCAGGGGCCCCACAGGGCCTGGGAGTTTGCCTCCCCGGCAGATTCCAGGCAGTGTTGGTGTTGCTGGAGTGAGGCCCGCGTTGTGGGACCCCTGTCCAGGTGGTCCAACACAGTGCCTCCTTCTGTGGGTGTTTGTTTGAGTCCCAAAGAAATCTTAGTTTGCTCAGTTCTCTTTGAGGGGAAGTGACTTTTGACACATACATGGTATGTGTCTGGTCTGTATTTTCTTGGTGAATAATTTCGTTCCTGTTCATAGAAAGGCAAAACATAAGAGGCATTATCTGTAGAAGAAATACAGCTTTCTAAAATCAAGCTCTGTGCTTGCAGGCGACCTTTGAAATAGGACAGAAGCTCCAGCAGACTGCCCCTCGAGCTCCCTGATGGCGGAATTCTGAGTGGAGTCGGGAGCTCTCCTGCCCGGCCTAGGTGACCTTGAGGAGGGCCGGCGCTGCTGTGGCCATGAGGCCACACGCGACGGCCTGCTTTGGCAGGTCTTGCCATCAATTGCCTCGCTCACATGCTAAGTAGTACTTCTACCCTTTCTCTCCTCCTCTGGGGTGGGGGTGGAGACGGGGTTAGTGTCTCACCCTGTGTGGATGCGTCTGTGCTGAAGGCAGCTGCGCTCACCTGTCCGACGTGGCTCTAAGAAATCGCTCAGTGGAGCGTGCCAGCACGAGTGCTCTGGTGGCGTGCTCACTGTACCGTTAACATAGTGGTGTACATGCCTGCTTTATGTATGCTTTACTCCGTGATGAAATAGTCTGCCTGTGCCTGAACCGGGGGCCGAATTGTCCTTGAGTTACTTTAGATAAAGACCTAAGTACAGAAAACACGTGTAGTGAAGAGACAGTGGCCCTCGTTTCCACCTGTGGTTGTGGTTTCTGTCACAGACAGGTGTGCACAAGATTATTGGGCGATACGCTCAATTTCCTTTTTGTGTGACCTGCAGTTCTGGGACTCTTAGGGGTAGGAGGCCACACATAGCACTGGCTTTCCAAAAGTCTGAAGGCCTGGAGGTGTCTGCGGCTGGCGTTGGTACAGGTGCGTGTAGCTTGGCCCTGTTGCAGCCCATCGTGCGTCTTGCCGGGGACAGACATGTGACAGCTGTGTGCAGGTCCCACTGATGGCAGCTGCATGCAGCAGGTGTGCTAGGGTTCCTGTGGCGCCCGGGTGTGTGGCCATCGGTCTGTGGACACCTGGAGTGTGGAAGTAAGGTGAACTGCGGTGGCAGGTTGGCCTGCCTGCCTCCTGTTTGGTCGGAGAGCATGTGAGTGCAGAGCCCTTGTCTTCTGCAAACCCACCGTTTGTCTGAAAGGCCGCCTGCGGAAGTGAGGTCGCAGGCCTGCGCTGGGCGGGAGCAGCTCTCCGGACCATCGGAGGGAGAATGTGGATCCGGGGTGCGCTACTGCTTTTTCATTTTGGCTTTTGAACCTAAGAGTGTGGATCAGCCCTCGATGCTCTGACAGGTGCTTCCATCCGTCCCCCTCAGGTGTGCACGCCTTCCACGGGAGTCTTCTCCATTCCTCACTTCTGGTCAGGAAGCGGTGGCTCACATCACTTTACTGACCAAAGGGTTCTATCTCGACAGGGCAGGACTTCAGCAGAGAGCAGTAAGTGGACAGTCACCTAAGGCGTCACCCCCAGCAGGCAGCTCTGACATGTCAGCATTACAGGGGTGCTGACTTACCACCCTTGCAGGGGTTTGCTCACATGGTGACACAGGCGTCGAGGAGACTTCATGCTGAGCGTGGGACAGGGACGTTCTGACTTCCTGTGCAGCGCCTTTATCTAGGACAGAGGCGCTGCCCGCGCGGGATGCGAGAGCTCCCCTCGTGTGTGCCCTGATTTCTTCTCACCTGAGGTGTGGCTTTCAGGTCAGAGGCCCGGCTGGGGTTCATTGGAGGAGAGGTCTGTACAGCTCACTGCACTCCAACTGACGGAAGGGTCCTGAAGACCAGAGACCCCTGTGTTCCATTCCAGCTCATTCCTTGTGGCGTGATAGTGGCCGGGCCAGCACACCCTGCCTGAAAGGCCAGCTGGGCCCGAGGTTTAGTTGTTAGAGAGTTGCTCGATCCCCTGGCTGGACTTGGGCCAGGACGGTCCGTGGTGGGGCTCCTTGCATGCCTCTCCGTGGCTGGGGGAGCCGGGTGTGCGTGGTGTGTGAGGCTCAGCCCTTTTGCCCCACTGTCAGCCTGGGGATGGCCACCAGCGGAGCTGCTGGAGTCTTTGCCCACAGAACAGGGTCGTTTGCCCCTCGTGTGGCAGATGCTGAAGTAGGCTGTGAGAGTCCATTGGTGGACCAGTCGGTCTCTGTCCTCACGGAGCTTGCAGTCCGATGGTCAGCCCGTGCCTCAGTCCACTTCGAAGGGCCCACGTGTTACAAGCCAACTGGAACGTATGCATTCATATGGGGCCCGGCGGAAGAACGCCACTGAGTGTGGTTGGTGCGGCAGGTGACTGTCTCGCATGAGAGGGGTGGCAGTTTGAACGTGTCCTCTAAAATGTCACAGGGTGTGCTTGAGTGCGATTGTTATGTTACACAATTACACGCACATGATTTTGTAGTACAAGATTTGTATAGATTCTCAGCGCACAGAGAAGGGGCGCTGTTTGTGCCAGACTCCGTGTGTGCTCACACGGGACGTAGATGTGCAGTGCGAGGTCGTGTGGACAGAAAGTAGGGTGAAGGGGGAGGGCAGGTGAAGAAGTGACGGCTCTGCACAGATACTTTATGCTTGTCTCGGAAAAGGATTGGGTTAAGGTTGTGTTGTTTTGAAGGCAGAATTCTGCTGTGCACATTGAGACTGTTTTAACTCCGAGTCATTTGGTCAGCAAGTACAGTGAGTCTTCACTTAACATCGTCGTTAGTTCTGCAACTTGAAGCAGCACGACATAGAATGTGACCATCTTTATCATCTGCTGATTGACATAAAGGGGTTGAGGTCCTGCGGCGTCTCATCAGCGTTGCCAGGACATGACGTTGGGGGAATGCGGGGCTGGATGGGCCGCTCTCTCTTGCTGGATGGAACTTGTGGTCTAGTGGGGGACATGGTCAGTAGCCAGTCACCCCAGTGCAGTGGGGTGGTGGTTAGGGACACAAAGAAATTGAGGCTGCTGAGAGCACATCATAGGGGCCCTGACCCGGCCTGGGGCTTGGGAGTAGAGGGAAGTGAAGGCTTCTCTGGTGAAGGGGGTTTTTAAGCTAGGTTTTAAGGGTGAAGACTTAGCGTGGGGGGCAGCAGCAAGTCCTGAAATGGGGGTGGGAGTGGCTTGGTTGAGAGACTGAGAGACTGAGGGGCTGGTGGGGGCGGGTGGTGGGTGCTGGCGCACTTCAGGCCTGTGAAGGGCCTTGTGTCGCTCCACTCTGGGCTGCCTCCTGGGAACCCTGGAGCCCGCTCTCCGTGCCACATGCTGTGCAGGGTGGAGGGATGAGGCGGCTCCTCCAGTCCCCACTCAGCCGGTGAGGAGTGGCCATTACCCCTCCTGCCTTGCAGGCGAGGTAACATGAGGTGGACACCAGAGACACCAGGATAAGGAGCCACCAGCTGCACAGCTAGTAGGTGGCAGAACTTGGGCTTGCACTCGGACCCTCGGACCCTGGAGCCTCTCCTGACCATTCACGTCCTCTCCATTTGTTTGTAGCTCTGATACAGACAGTTAACAAAAGGCAGCGGTAACAAGTTCCGCATAGCACAAAGAATTTTCCAGCTCTGGCTGTCCAGAAACCTAGACAGGGAGAGGCAGGTGTGCCCAGTGAGTGTGTGTGTTCCCGTGGCCTGCAGACAGCCACCTGTCAGAGCCAGAGCAGGAGGAGATGGGGTCCAGTGAACACTGGGCTTCTCTGGTTGCGCTTGGGTTCCTTCCACTGTAAGATGGTTATTTACGTACATGTGTTTTTCTCCCTCTAGTGACCATGAAGGACACCAGGTTGACAGCACTGGAAACCGAAGTACTAACTGTCCCCAGAATAGGTAAGGGATCGACTCAGTCCACTGGTGCAGGAAAGCAGAAGGGGATCGGTTGTCTTGTCCATGCCGTACTGGTGCATGCGTGTGTCTTTGCACGCAGGGTTTAACGTGTATGGTTTCAGCTGCTTGCCCGGAACTGGACTGGCTGTGGCACGGGTGGCAAACACAAGGCCCGTGGGCCGAACCCGGCTCTCCACCTTGTTTTATCCCGCCCAGCACCTTGCTTCTACCTGGCGGCAGCTCTGAGCTCTCGCTTAACTGTTAAGGAGCACTTACATTTACTTGGTTCTAAATCGCCTTCGGCACTTTGAAGACAGCTCTGAGGCAGATGTGGCCCTGGTGGAAATGAGTTTGACGCTCCTGGTCTATGGCATGAAATAATTGGTCAAATGACTGGTGATGGTTACTTGCTTATTTGGTGCAGGCACTGTTAAATGCATTACTTTTCTTCATGACCCCACTTTTGGCGCCCCCGCTTTTTAGAGACGCAGAAGCAGCCTCTGGGACACTCGCTGCTATCTCTGAGGTCACGTGGCTAGTACCTAGTGTGTCTGTGACCCCAGTCAGTGCAGACAGCTGAGTCTGGTTCAGGCCACTGCACTCAGTGGGAGCCTTTGTGCGGGAGCAGGCCGGTCAGCTAGTGCAGAGGTTCTCAGCCCAAGCCAGCCTTACGAGTGCCCTTGGGTCTGTGCGTGCAAATCCGGTGTAACCCACACATATAGCCTGGACCCCGCCCTGTGACCTGCCCTACAGTGGGGCCCGGGCCGCAGGCTGACTGTGTGATGGGCATCCTGGGCAGAGACCCCCAGACCAGTAAGTTAGCATCACGTCTCAGCCTGGTTCTGTCGGTGGCTCTGTTAGTTCTGGGGATGACGGGCGTGCTATGGCGGGCTCTGGGGACTGGAGGGCGCACAGACCCCAGAGCAGGTCCTTCCCAGGTAGTGAGGCACTTGTAGGAGGGTGTAATCTTAGCAGCCTGACTGACCTTGGAGCCTGGGGTTGGAGTCTGCGGCGCCGCTGTCCCGGGGGGCAGATGCAGGGAGGATGGGCAGGGTGTGCACTGGTGCTCATTCAAGGTCCCCGACTGCCTCGCCGGACATCGCAGGAGCTGTGCACCACGCAGGGTCTCGTCTGAGGGTCGATGCTGTTCACAAGTCAGGACTTAGTGCAGAGTGTCTGACAGAAGGGGCTGAGCGTCGTTCTCAAGAGTAGAGGAGGCTTTCCAGGCTGGTCGTCTCGTTGAAATTTTGTGTGCATAGTTCAGACTGTCCCACCTTAGAAACTCGCTGACAGGAGTTTGAACCCGTGTCACGTGGTCAGCTGTTCCGTCACTGAGGCCCAAGCTGAGTAGCACATAAACCTCAAACTCTATGAAACGTTTTCTATTATTGTGGATTTTTTCATGACTTAAAATTCGAGTGACAGGTTGACATCCTTCTGTTCCTGACTTGTCCTCACAAGGCGTGGAGGCTCCCAGATCTGCCCTTTTCCTCGGGAGACGGCAGAACGAGTGTGGCTCTCGGGTCGTCTGGTTCGTAGTAAGTGCTAGAAAACTCCACAGAAGTTAGAATTACGGTGTGATTTTCTTCACCGAGCCAGGTGTTATGAAAACTTTTGTAAGTATTGGGCTCACAGGTTAGTTACTGTTATTCACAAAGTTATGTAGCTAGTCCACGCTATTTTCATATTATCAGTTAATATATTTAACTGGGAGTTTTTAACTGTTTTTGAGTATAAAAGTCACATCATTTATGGAAGCTTTTATTTTTATAAGTATACATTTATACTTAAACTGACAGAATTTCAGCTTATAAAATACAAAACTTGCATGTTACTTCTCGGGTGTTTTATCTTTATTTGAGAGTGATCATGCAGATATTAACGGTCATTCTGAGTGTGCGCCTCACCGACACCACGTACGCAGGATAACGCGGTGGTAGTAGGTACACGGTCTCACGGTCTCGCACACGCGCACGGTCAGGGAAGCCGGAAGTGGTGCTGAAGTCGGCAGTTGACAGTTCAACTTTGACACTCTCTGAAGACCGAGACCACACATAGCCAGGTGCCGGGGTTTGGCCAGGTACGGAGACTAAGACCTGCAAGACAGTCTGCCACGCAGGGGTGAGGGAGGAGAGCATACCGGGGGGTGGTCAGTGCAGAGGCCCTATCTCGGGAGCTGGTTTCCTGGGGTTTTAGAAACCAGAGACCAGAGCGGAGAGGCAGAGCGGCGTGAAATGAAGACAGGGGGCAGAGGTGGGGGTTTGTAAACGACCCAATCACATGCAGCCTCGTGGGCCACTCAGACTAGCTCCAGGTGGCCATGGAGTTGCTCCAAATGTGGGTGGGGAGTGTTGATTCTGAGTTCCATGGTTCAGAGTTTCTTGTTTGGTGGCAAATGGATTGTAGAGAGCGGGGTGCCAGCAGGAAGGCGGGGAGAGGCCGCTGCTGCCTTGTCTCTAGGGGCGACGAGGGGCTGGGGTTTGCTGATGGGTTAGGTGTGAGGGCAAGAGCGGGGAAGTGACAGAGATGTCACCTAGATGTTTGCTGTAGACTGACGGTCATGCCTTTTACTGAGACCCAGAAGACTGGCAGAGGGGCGGGTTTGGGGTGGGTAGTTGGGTGTCGAAAGCCATGGCCCCTGAGTATAAATAGCATCATCTGCAGCTCTGTACTGTGGCGTGCAGCCACTAAAGATAATACTAAAGTGGATAGAATGTGGCCTTGTCATGTAGCAACAGAAATGTATTAACTCAGATACTCACTTCTGGCTTGTCCTGGCTCCTCTCTTTCCTGTACTTGGTTCTTCCCAAATGGAAGAGAGTTGCACACCATTCTCAGACTGCCACAGCTGCAACTGGGTGTCTCGTGTGCCCGTGGTGCTCACCGCTTAGTGTCTGTTTCCAGCCCCTCTTCCGTAGGCTGCGAAGTGTGTTGAGTGCACCTGCCTCTCCCCACCTCCAAGCCCGGTCCCAGCTGGCCCCCTCCTCCCCTGTGCACCCTCTGAGCCATGGCCCCTTGCTGAGTTCGTCTGCCTGCATCACGCCTTGCACTTAGGCCCTCAAGAAACGTTTGCATGAGTTCGAAGAGGAGAGGTGCTCCCGTCGAGGGACTCATTCCGAGTTTGGGTCGCCTGAAGAGGAGTCTCACACAAACCCCAGCCTTTATCATTTTGTTCTGGGGATTAGAAAGTATGGTTAAAAGGTGGAATTTTAGACCCAGAGAGGAAAAAGCTTCTTGCCAAAAATAAGCTAATGTGTTTTAGGTAAAACCTTATTTTTTGCCTTCTGTGAAGCATTTGAAAGAGTAGGCTTCAGAAACCAGACTTTTATGCCTGGTTTACTTACATTATATTTGCAAACTGAAAAACAAGCTGGATAGTCCAAGCCGGTCAGCCCTGACCGCTGCCAGGCGGCCTGGATGGTTGCCGCCTTTGTGTAGGATCGCACTCACGTCCCTGGGCCTGGGAGGACCGGCCCACGGCACTGCCCTTGCATACACAGAAGATAGTGGCACCTCACGAGACCGAGGCCGGTGAGGAGCAGTTCTGCTGGAGCAAGACCACACTCAGGGACAACAAAATGCTTCTATACCTGAGGGTCACCTGTGGTTTCCGGAAGTGGAGATGAGCACGGGCTAGAAGGCGGGCACCGTGTCAGAGAGCCGCCCAGAGAGGGGCCCCTGGGGACGCTCACCAGCGCTCTGCGTGAGGGCACACGGCGCTCCTCGGCGAGTACCTGGTGGCACCAGCGCTGCCCCGGAGCGAGCCACGCGCGGCATCTGAGGGACGCCTCTCCAGGGGCCCGGGGCTGCTGCCACCTTCATGTGGTGTGGTGACGTAGTGCAGCCAGCTCACAGGAAGGTGGGGTTTCTCGTCTCGGCTTTGAGCTCTATGATAACGTCTTACCAACTGTAAGGTTTCTGAGCCCTTTCAAACTGTCTTTGTGACTTCCCTGGCCAAGTGGCCTGGTTGGTGGGAGTGTCGTCCCGTGCACCAAAGGTTGCTGGTTCAATTCTTGGTCCAGACACACAGCTAAGTTGCGCATTCCGTCTTGTTGGTGTACATACAGGAGGGAACTGATCGATGTTTCTCTCTCATATCGATGTCTCTAAAATCAGTGATGTGTATATATATCCTTGGGCAAGAATTAAAACAAAAACAAAACCAAATTGACTTCATGATTTACCTGTAAGATCTCTACTTATGAGTGTGACCCCAGCAACTTCCTACCTCAGGATTTGATATAAAAAATGCATTTAGACATTTTAGTTGATTTTCTGGCTAATGAACTTCTGGTTCACCAAGAACCAAATTCATGGGTATTACCAGGTTATAATTAAACCAGAGCATAGGCAATGGTTGATACTCGGCAGTTCCTGGGGTCACTGCTACTTAAAATTTGGTGTCCTTATGGGGGGCGCTTAACCCTTGAGCACAGTGATTCTCCAACAGGGCTTACCTATCACCCAGGTGAGAATGACCTGGGGTGCTTGTTAAAACGCAGATCCCGGAGCCTTGGCTGTCGTGGCTTGCTTGGTTGGAATGTTCTGCTGTAGCTGAAAGGTTGCTGGTTTGATTCCTGCTCGGGGCATATACCTGGTCGTGGGTTCCGTCCCTGGTCCTGGCACATGTGATTCCCTGGTCGGGAGGAAACCAATAGATGATTCTGTCTGTATGTATATTTCTCTCTCTCCCCTCCTTTCTGTCTAAAAGCAGTGGAGGAAGATGTCCTCAGGTGAGGACAAAAAAGAAAAAAGCAGATTCCTGAGCTCAAAATTCATTTCTGGAATGGACCCAGGATATTGCGTTTCTAACAAGCGTCCCAAGTGATTTTGATGGACAGTAAAGCCCACTAACTTCTAGTTTAGCTTATTCAAAGAAAAACAAGTAGAAAAGAGAATATATTTTAATGTGGCTAGAAGTGACATATAATTATTGGCCTTTTGAACTTGGCCACCTGTGTTCTGCTTTACCATGTGACCTTGGCAAGGTTATTATTATTTTTTGAGTATCCATGCTTTTAAAAAAATATATTTATTTATTTATTTATCTTTAGAGGGGAAGGAGAGAGGGAGAGAAACGTCAATGTACGGTTGCCTCTAGTGTGTCCCCTGCTGGGAATTGGCCTGCAGGGAACTGGCTTGCAACCCAGGCATGTGCCCTGACTGGGAATTGAACCGCAATCCTCTGGTTCGCAGACCTGCGCTCAATCCACTGAGCTATACCAGCCAGGTCCATGCTTTTGTTTGTAAAGTAGGATAATGCTGTTTGTCTCACGGAGCTGTCATGAGGGTCAAAACCATGAGCTAGCCTAAGGTCACATTTGGGGGCTGGGGTTTTGGGGTCAGGCAGATCTGGGCCCACATTTCAGTTCTTCCCTGCTTTTGCCTCTTGCAAGCTTTGTGACCCCAAGCAAATGGCCTTGCCTCTGTTTCTGTCTCTGAAACGAGGACCAGGAACAGAGTGTGTTTGACAGTGTTCGCACAAGGTGTGCAGCTCTGTCTGGCGAACAGCATGGCGACGGCTTGTGTCTGAGCACAGACCCCAAGGCCGCAGTGGGGAGGTGCACACAGTGGGGACGCGCACACAGTGGGGAGGTGCACGCAGCATGTGTAGCCATGCTCGGCGAGGGAGCTGCCTTTTCGCACCTCAAGATGCTGCAGCTGTCCCACTGCCACAAAGATCTGAGTTTTGGAGTTTTAAAGGTGAAATTTGCCCTGATGGCCCTTCCCTATGCCAGTGACATGAAGAGTGTGCCCCCCAAACAGAGGAATGACCCATGGTGCAAACTGGGCATGGACCTCGGGCTTGCGACCTGACCAGCTGTACGAGCCTTTAGGCACTGAGATGACAGTGAAGATGACAATACTGTGCCTTCAGTTCTTTTTCTGAAAATTGTTTATCCACTTTTTAGATGGGTGATTTGAAAAATAAACACAAGCTTAGCCAAACCCAGGGAAGAGTTAACAGTAGGATAACTTAGGTTTGGCCCCTTGTTCAGGCACTGTGACGGCTGGTCTGACTGCATCGGTCTCCCGGTGCCTCCCTCCTGGCTCCTTAGAACTCCTCTTCCTGAGTGTGTGCGGGGAGTGGGGGGGGGGGGTGTCGTTCGCACACCCTGGCTGCAGTCGAAGCAAAGCTCCGGACCCACCGTTCACAGCGCTGGATGCACGGCTGCTTTGTCTTGCAGGTGGTTTCTTCTGGGGAAGAACGAGCCCGTATTGTTGCACTGTCATCTTCCTTCCCCTCAGTCTGGTTGCGGCGCCAATGAAGAGCCTTCGGAGTCTGTAGCACACGTCCCGGCCCCGGCGCAGCACGTCTGTGGGAGAGGATGGCCCAGCAAGCGAACCTCGGGGAGCTCCTCTCCATGCTGGACTCCCCCGTGCTGAGTGTGCGCGATGACGTCACCGCCGTCTTTAAAGAGAACCTCAATTCTGGTAAGCAGGGCCCCGCTCCTGTAGCTCCTCTGCCAGTCAGGAGGGGGGTGCTCCTGGGGGGGGGGTCGGAGTCCCGCTGAGAAGTGGCATCTCCACAGCCACCAGTGAGGAGCATGCGGTCACCGGTGTGGTCGCTCTGTGTGCATTTGCAGCCTTTAACTGCTGGATGCTCAGATGTGCAGACACAGGGAAGCGCCATCTCCCAGGGAGCCGTGTGGACCTAGTGCCCAGGCCTCTGCCATTCTTCTTCACCTTGACCTCCCTGACTCTGTCCCTACCCAGTATTGTAAAGCAAATCCCAGATACACAGTTTATCTGTAAATCATACGTGATTTTTAATATGAGAAACGCGTAACCTTTCTTTAATCAGAGGAGAACAATTTCAACAGTATCCATTTTTGTTTACCAGGTTGGTAAACATCAAATATTGATCACAGAAATGGACATTGTGCCCTGGCTGGTGTGGCTCAATGGACTGAATGCCAGCCTGTAAACCAAAAGTTTTCCGGTTCAATTCCCAGTCAGGCACACGCCTGGGTTGCTGGCCAGGCCCCCAGTAAGGGGCGTGCAAGATGCAGCTGATTGACCTCTCTCTCACACTGGTGTTACTCTGTCTTTCTCTTTCCCTTCCCCTCTCTCTAGAAAGAAATAAAATCTTAAAAAAAATGTTTTTCAATTGAAAATAAAGAAATAGACATTATTTGTAGGAGAATAAATTGGTGTTCAGCCTTTTTTGCAGCATCCGTCATCGGTTTACAAACATGTGCCATTTGCCCTGGCTGGTGTGTCCAGGTCGGAGAGTTGTGCTGTAACTGAAAGGTTGCGGGTTTGATCCCCGGCCCGGGTGCGTAGGGACGGCAACCAGTCGGTGCCTCTGTCTTGCATCAGCGTTTTTCTCTCTGGGAAGCAATGAAAAAAATGTCCTCAGGTGAGGATAAAACAGAAAAAAACAAAAAACACCCCAAAACACACACTCTTGGCCCACTGACAAGAATCTGTATTTCATTATAGCCTGAAATGAAATATAGTAAAAAATCGGAAAAAGCCAGGTATCCTTCAGTAGGTGAGTGGTTACGGTAATTACATAGAGCCATGCAGTGGAGAGCAGCAGGTCCGTCAAGGGGAGTGGGTGGGTCACAGGTGCCGCCTTGTCGAAATGGTCAGATCGCTCGCACAGGCGGTGGGCACGTGGACGTGGGGAGTGTGCGTGTGAGAGAGAGAGACTGCGATTTTTCAAGTGGAAAAACCTTTGAAAGGACGTGTACCAAAGTCAAGGGTATTTCTCTGCGAAGTGAGTTGGGAGGTAGGAGTTAGGAGCCTTTTAAATTGTATGCACTTTCATACAGTCTGAGTTCTTAACAATAGACGTGGGTTATTTTATTCTAATTAAAAGGTAATAAAAAAGAAGATAGAATTGTATGTGATTTTGTGGCTATTTAGGCAAATAAACTTGGTATTATTGTTGAATCTAAATTACCGTAAGGAGGGAAATCGCAGACTTCGTATGGCTTTGGGTGGCATACAGAGAAACATTCTTCTGGATTTTGTGGCAGGCAGCTGTTGGAGGGAAACTCAGGGTGTTAAAGGAAGTAACGAGGAGAAACTGCCCTTTCTTTGTTTAGACCGCGGTCCGATGCTCGTGAACACCTTGGTGGACTATTACCTGGAAACCAGTTCTCAGCAAGTTTTGCACATCCTGACTACCTTGCAAGAGCCACACGATAAGGTAACTGCCACGCGGGAGGCGTCCTCGTGAGGGGCCTCATGCCCAGATCACCAGCACACGTGCAGAGTGCCTGCAGGACCTGCCTTTCCAGAACTGTTTTCAAAACGAAACGAAGTTCAGGGCTTTTTAAGATCCCGCTGTTTAAAGAAATCCTGAAAACAGCACTGTGATCGTACAGTGCCGATTTGATCTGTAAAGGACCCCTCGTTAAAACCATGCTTCAAACAGGGTTTTTGACTTCTCACCAGTTTGGGAAAACCTTAAGTGCAGGTGACCGAGGGGAGCACTGATGGAGGAGGCCTGTGCCCCAGCACTCGAGGGTCCGTGCGTTCTGCGTTTGCGTTTCATTTTGCTGGTGGTAGGCAGTCAACGGCACTGTAATGGCAGGCTTTGCTCCGTCTTGAGTTCCCGTGCTGATGACTTCACCAGAACTTGAAGGCCTTGCTGTGGTCTGCCTTTTCAGGATGTCTTGTTTTTTTACCCTGGCCTGAATTTGAACTTCTGCTGCTTGACTGATATGTGGGACCAGACCTTGGTGCTGGGCTACTGTGGCAGGAAATGGCTGCCTCTAGCAGGGTCTCTTCCCAGCCCCAACCACTGCCGAGGGCTGGGGACCTGTGGTTATGGCAACAGGTGGCCTGTTTGTATTTCAGAGAGGGGGTCTAGGAAGGAGTGTCCTCTGGGCCTGCTGGCAGAGGTGAACCCTTTTTCAGGAAGTGCAGCCTGGCTGCCCGCTCTCGGGCCAGACGCAGTAGTGTTTGGTTTGCCAGCACAGGTTACAAATTCTTGAACGTGATCCAGTGCCTACCGGACCCTTGTTCCGCATATGGGAAGTCCTGGAGGCCCAGCGCTAGCTGTCGCCTGTGTTTGAGTGAGCCTCCTGTATTCGAGGGCTTGCCTTGGCTCCCTTGACCCGCCCCCCAGCCTTATTGAGATGTATTTTCATTCTTTCACATTTTTAGCACCTCTTGGACAAGATGAACGAATATGTGGGCAGAGCCACCTCTCGGTTGCCCACCCTCTCATTGCTGGGGCACGTCATCCGGCTGCAGCCGTCCTGGAAGCATAAGCTCTCTCAAGCACCTCTCCTACCTTCTCTGCTGAGATGCCTCAAGGTACGGTGGTGGCGAGGGCTCGTGTGAAATGGCTTCGTGCGCGTGGGTCCCGAAACGCTGAGTCACGTCAGGCAAGTGGGCAGCTAGATTTTAACTTTGAGAGTTTGAAACTTCTGGGCACTTGGTGTTTCTCCCTGAACACCACACAGTTGGGACTGAGCACCTTCTCAGGGTGCCACTGCTGAATGGCTTTTGTCTAAGCAGTTCTGGCACTGTTTCATGCAGCCGGTCCAGCATTATTCATTCCAGCCCTCTTCGATTTCACCCTTCCTAGCCTTCCCTCAGTTGAACGTATGCTGGTTTGTCTCTGGGAAACCCCCATTCCTAAATTCCCTCTTATCGCCAAGGAAAAGGGCTCAGAAGGCTCTTTCAGCCATTTAGGAGCATGTCTGGCCACAGCTCCAATTGAGAAGCCTCCTGCATTGCATTCTACTTTTTTGCACTGTCCTTAGTTTTTCTACGTAGTCAAAACCTCAACAGAACCTTCTGGTTTGAGTTTTGATAGTGGCTTGCAGAACTACTTGGGGCTCTTCACCTGATCTGTTTCAGCTCCTGGGCTTGTTTGCTACCTGTAAAGTAAGAAAATGCCTTGACAGGAAGCGCCTGCCCCCCCCAGAGCCATGGAAAGCTCAGTGGCATTCACTGCGCACTGGCAGCACGTTCCGGTTCATCCGAGACAGCGCCCTGCAGAGTGCTTTTTGTCTCTGCCAGTGGGGGCATTCGGGGCTTTATGACCCCTAGAGGTGGGTCCCAAGGAGTCACGTTGATAGGGTGTCATAAAACCACGCGTGTAATACTGGGGGAAAAAACAGGAACAATTTTAACAACTTGATTTTTTTAATTTCTTACTTTACTTTTTTAAAGATATTTATTTATTTATTTTTAGAGAGAGGGGAAGGGAATGGGAAAGAAAGGGAGGAAAACATCAATGTGTGGTTGCCTCTCACATGGCCCCCAGCGGGGACCTGGCCTGCAACCCAGGCATGTGCCCTGACCGGGAATCGAACCAGCGACCCTTTGGTTTGCAGGCCAGCGCTCAATCCATTAGCTACACCAGCGAAGGCTTAACAACTTAATTTTTTTAAGCGACTGCATTGATGAGGCTATAATCTAATTTTGAGGGCACACCATTTAGTTCAGATTGCAAAATTACTGCTGTTTTCCAAAATGGTAAGCCTCGGAAATTTCTCGTGGGCAGTTACCCTAGCCTTCAGTTAGAATGTTATGAAAGTCAGGGCTAGTCCTTTTTCCACTGGAACTCGGTATACATTCTCCCACGGCTGTTTCACGTTCTCTTACTAGACACTGGCCCTAACGAGAGGCGTGTGCCTGATGTAAAGACTGAACGTACTTAGAACTTGACGTCCAGACTAGTCTCCTAGGTCGCTTCTCCAATAGGAGTGACGACTGTCTGAGCCTCCATGGGGTCTTTCGGCAGCCGTCTTGTCCCTTACATCTGAACTCCAGTTCCTTGGCCAGCAGCCGTGATTCAGTCATGGGTCAGGTGAGCTGCTGTCTTAGGCTCGGTGACTTATTACCCATTAGGTATTGAGCGTCTTCCCTTAGCTGTGCTTCACTTTGGGGGAGTCACGTAACTTCACTAAAGCTCTGCGACTCGACGTGGGAACTGCGGGCCTGGTCGGAGGCCGTCGGGAGGCCGGCCGCTGCCGTGCCGGGCCCTTCTCGCAGCTCTCCTCCTGCTGCCGCCTTGCAGACAGAGCGGGTTGTCAGCGTGTAGTGCGTTTTCAAATTGATTTTTAAAATGTGGTAGTTTAGGGTCTGGCTGAACAAACAAAAACAGCCATGTTCCTTTGTTTTCTTATAAAGTGGCTTTGGGGGGAGGGATGTTAGGGGCTAACTGGTAATGGGAAAAAGTAAAATAAACATTAAATTAAAAAAATCAGTTCAGCCCTGGCTAGTGTGGCTCAGTGGACTGAGTGCTGGCCTGCAAACTGAAAGGTTGCTGGTTTGATTCCCAGTCAGGGCACATGCCTGGGTTGCGGGCCCGGTCCCCAGTTGCAGGTGTGTGAGAGGCAATGGAGATCTCTTGCACATTGATGTTTCTCTCCCTCTCTTCCTCCTTCCCTTCCCCTTTCTCTAAAAATAAATAAAATCCTTAAAAAACATTAAAGAGCAGCTTCTCCTTTTTTTCCTAAGTGCTCTAGGCAGGGCGTCCTTGGGCTTCAGGGCTGGGAGGGGCGGTGCCAGGTGGAAGCCCCTCTCCCAGATGTGTGTGTCCAGGTGCATCGGGCTGGTCCTCAGCAGTGTTCCTGGGGGGGTCCGCTTCAGTGCTGACCCTCTACACCCTTAGGCACTGAGGGCCATGGGGACAGCCATGAGCCTGGGCGAACCTCTCACCTGAGAGCCCTTGGCTGCACCTCGTCGGGTGTGTGCTTCGGGTCCTAGAGCCCCACCCTCCGGGTCACTCTGCTTGCCTTTCCCTTTGCAGGTGGACACTGACGTCATCGTCCTCACGACCGGGGTCCTGGTGCTGATAACCATGCTGCCGATGATCCCTCAGTCAGGGAAACAGCACCTGCACGACTTCTTTGACATCTTCGGCCGTCTTTCGTCATGGTGCCTGAAGAGACCAGGTAAAGGTCTCCTCGTGCCCCGGCTGTGCGCTGTGTGGGAAGGACCTGTGAAGGGGGTGTTGTCCGGGGCCGATGAGGAAGCAGCCTGGGTGCGTCTGCTGTGGGCAGAAGGGGAGGCATGGCTGTGGAGGGACCTTTGTTCTTCCATCGGGTTGAGGGGTCGGCGGGAGGTGAAGCCCCCTGACCCTCCGTGAACTGAAGACCGCGTCAGCCCATGCCTCAGCAGGCCTGGAGTCAGTACCCCTGTGGGGCAGTCCTGCCTCCGTCCTCTGGTCCGCTGTGACAGCGTGCGGCTCTGGGCTCTGGGCGCCTGCTCAGGGATAGGCTGGGGTGGGGCGTGCAGAATGGCCTCGTTCGTCTTCCCACTTCACATGCGGTGGATTTTCCCTGTCTCGGCAGGTAGCACAGCTCTGTCAGAATGACGCAGAAGCTGTTAGCACGTGAAATTCAGGACCTTGGTCATCCCATGAGCCATGCTCTCGCTGCAGGGAGGGTGGGATGTGTGAGCCCGTGAGAGGCCCACGTGTGCCAGTCCCATCGGCAGCTCTTCCTGGGGGCAGGCGGCCTGTCTGTACACACAGGGAGGGGCTGTGTGTGCATGGTGGACTTGGGGCTTTCCTCCGGGCCAAGGCCCGGCTGGATTGAGTGAGTTCTCTTTCCTGCACTTGTAGCTTGTTTAAAGCTAGTTTCACGATAGTAGTTTTTCACTCTATAGTTACAAATTTGCATAGCGAAAAGACTACGTACTGATTTTACAAGGTTCTCACACATTGGTTCACAAATGTTTAAACCTTGTGGTGCAGCCGCACAGTACAAGGCACTGAGAGTGCAGGAGTGAGTAGGACGGCGCCCTTCTCAGGGAGCAGGGCGGTGGGTGCAGGGGACTAGAAACGGCAGGGACAGTGACTGTCGTTACAAAGGCAGCTCAGCGTGGTGGGAGCGTCTGGGGTCCTCTGGGAGGGATGGCGGAGAGGAGGGCGGAGACAATTGGTGAGAGCCTCTGGGCCACTCGGTGTGTGGGGGGTGCGTCCTAAGGCCACAGGGGACTGCCAGTGGACCTTCGCTGGGGGAGTCCGCTGTGCTTGCGTTCACATGGGAGGCCGCCTCCCTCTCTGGGGCGAGGTGGGGAGGCCTGTGCCAGCTCCGGGCCCGGGTCTGTTCGGTACGCACCAATCTTGTGTCCGGCTCAGAGTCTCCCCTCGATGGCTTCCTTTCCAGGCCACGTGGCAGAGATCTCCCTCGTCCACCTCCACACCAGTGTTTACGCTCTCTTTCACCGCCTCTACGGGATGTACCCATGCAACTTTGTCTCCTTTCTGCGCTCTCACTACAGCATGAAGGAGAACCTGGAGACCTTTGAGGAAGTGGTCAAGGTACCTGGGACCTGGGCAGACAGGCTGCATTTGTAACGTTTCTGTTAAATGGCAGATGGAGAATTCTGAAAAGAAATTCTGCTGGCTCCCCACACCAGGGCTCCCTCTCCAGCCCTAGGCAACCATCGGTCTCCCTTCTGCCTTTAGAGAGACCTGCCTGTCCTGAACAGTTCTTGTAAATGGGGTCGTACGCCATGTGGTCTTTCGTGACTGGCTCCCTTCACTCTGCACAGCGTTTGGAGGGTCATCCCCATTGTAGCACACATCAGTGTTTGTTCTTTTTTATTGTCAAAGGACAGTCTGTTGTGTGGAGATACCACAGAAGTTTAGCCTTTTACTTGACCACTGATCTCTTCCAGCCAATGATGGAACATGTGCGGATTCACCCAGAACTAGTGACCGGATCCAAGGACCATGAACTGGACCCTCGGAGGTATGGAAACCCGCCAGCGACACAACTCACAGAATCTCTTGGGAGGTTAAGAACGGGATCTGGGAGCTGTCCCTCTTGAGGAGCTGCTGGAGAGGATGGGTTCTGCTGCTTAGGGAGTGAGTCCCTCTTGCAGGGCTTGTGCAGTGCCACTCGTGCTGGCCTGAAACCTGCTCCTGACCCACAGAGAGTGGGGAGTGTGCTTAGTAGAGCAGAGGCAGCCACAGTGCAGACCCGTCCCACGGAACCCCAGGAGGGCTTCCTGCATGGTGGGAGCAGTGGTTGTTCCGGGCAGCAGATGAAGGGGGTGGCTGAAAACAAGCGGCTTGTGGACAGTCTCAGCGTCCCGTCTGGCCTTCCCTGTCCCTGGGCTTTGCCAGGCACTTCCCCTTCTCCTCAAGCCCTGCAGATGTCCCCAGGCTCACTCCCTGCAGGGCTCCGGATTTGAGGGTCCCGGGCACAGGGTGCCTTGTCCTGTCTCAGAGACAACTGCTGTCCTTGTCTTCGGCTCACTGTGCTTGCCCTTTTCTCTGTTGTGTTGCCGTGCGTGTGCTCTCATTTGAAGGGTTAACCGGGAAGCAGAGCCCGGCTCTGGAAGAGGTGGTCGCGTCACTGTTGTTGGAAGGGCCCCAGGAGACGAGCACAAGACCGATGTCTGAGCCTCGGTCAGCCTCCCTGTTTGTGGAAGTCGCTGGGCAAGGGCGTGAGTGCATCCTGGGAAAGGTAGAGCTCGCCCTAGTTGGAGCACCTGGCGAGGCCTGGGGTGTGTGCCAGGTGTTGGGTGCACTGCCAAAATAGCCGAAGTAGCAGCAGAGGAAGGAGGTCTCACTGTTTGTGGCTTCCAAGAACAGTGGCTTACGCTCAGGAATGGGTCTGCGCACAGTCCTTCAGGGGGTCAGATGAGTGTCCTCAGAGGCCCTGGGCAGAGCAGGCGAGCAGGAGTTTCATCAGTGCAGAGTCAAGGCAAGCTCAGTACAGACGTGCTGTCTAGGCCGGGGTCCCCCCGATGCTCTGGCCCTCGGTTCAGAGCAGGTTGCAAACAGTGGATGCCATGGTGATGGTCTGTGACATGCCCACGTCTTGGGGCGTCCGCTGATCGGATGGGCTGTCTCCGTGCCTTGCACAAAACTGCCGTCATCCTCCCCGGGGGCCTCCCAGCGCTGCTCCCCTGCAGGGTCTGCTGTCCTCTGTGTGTCTGGTGTCTTTCGTGTTGACTCTTGTTTCCTCGGGCCGTGTCCTCCAGTGGCTCTTGGAGAGAAGACAGCGCTTGGGCGGAGTTGCTCTCATTCAGCACTGGAAGGCATTCTTCCGCTGCCACCTCGCTTCCAGCGCTCCCGTTGCAGTCGAAGGCGTTGTGATTTCTGGTCATCTGCATCTGCCGCATTTTCCCTGTGGAAGCCTGCAGAATCTTTTGTTTTCATAATATTCTAAAAGTTCCTAGGGATGTCCCTTGGAATGAGTCTGTTCTCGTTGTTCAGTCTGGGCTGTTTTTCTCTGAGCTTGGGAACATGAAGATTAAAGTTTCTGTTGGATTATTAATTACTTAAAAATATGAATAGCAAAATTGTGTTGTCTAAGAGAAAGACAGTTTATACTTGAGCAAGTAAATGTATTAATTATTATGGCTTTTTAGAGCATTGGGCAAATACTGAAGAAGTAAAAGAAGACAGAAACAACCCTGGCTGGTATAGCTCAATGGACTGAGCCCGGGCCTGCAAACCAAAGGATTGCGGTTCGGTTCCCAGTCAGGGCACATGCCTGGGTTGCAGGCCAGTTCCTAGCAGGGGATGCACAAGAGGCAACCATACATTGGTATTTCTCTCTCTCCTTCCCTTCTCCTCTAAAGATAAATAAATAAAATAAAAAAGAAGACAGAAACATCACCCAGAATTTGTCCTTTTAATTTCATTTCTTAGTGTGATTATGTCTATATGTGTGTCTTTGAGTAGTTTTGTATCCTTTATTTATTTAAGGTTGTATTCTGAGCATTTAATGTCATTTATTCTTTGAAAGCATGATTTCTAAAATCAACGTTAGGAAGGTATAATGTAGATGCAACAAAATTCTTCAGTTTTGACAAAAGTCGTGTCACAATCAAAGAACGTTTTGTTGCCCAGAATGTGCCCCGGCCCCCCTCCCTCACTCCCAGGGACTGCCGACTGCTGGAAGTGGCCCTTTTGTGGCGGTGCTGTGACTTCCCCCTGTAGAAAGTGCCTTTCGGGCTAGACTTGGGCTCCTCCTCTTCTGTTTCAAGTTGTGCTGTGCTGAGCAATGATGTGCGTCCTGAGGTGCGGCTGTTTCCAGAAGCCGGGCCCTTAGAAGTGGAACGGTGGTGGCTCATGTAGCAGGAGCCTTTAGATGGCTCTTTAAAAGTTCTCGTGGGCGCTCTCTAGGTCTGACACTGTCGGGCCATGCTGTGGTCTGGGGTGGCTGAGCGTCCAGGACGTGGCTGGGGGACCCTGCATCGGGCCCCCTCCTCGGTGGTTTCCAGGGCTCCCTGTTCCCCGGTCACCCGTGCTCCTCAGGTCTCTCCTGGTGGCTGTTCTGCAGCGTTTGTGTTCTGTTATGAGGCTGTGCCTAGTCGCTTGTGGGTGACATTTTTCTTTCAGATTAGTTTCCAGTAACTTGGTGTAACCATTTTAAGTAGGAAGGACCCGGGTGTGTGAAGTGAAAGGCTAGTTTCTGACGGGTGGTCCTTGCGCTAGTGTGGCTCCACCTTGATCTTGGGTGCTCACAGGTCCGGGGCTGCAGCTGGCCCTCCCACCCGTGCGACTGATGAACGGCCACAGCCTGCACTTCTGACGTTCTCCGCCCCTTACAGGTGGAAGAAATTAGAAACCCACGATGTCGTGATCGAATGTGCCAAAATCTCTCTGGACCCGATGGAAGCCTCGTATGAAGACGGCTACTCTGTGTCTCGCCGCCAGTCAGCCCGCTGCCCTCACCGTCCCGCTGATGTCCCCGCCAGCCCTTATGCTGACACACCAAACAGCTACGGTAAAGGGAGGGGCTGCCTCTCTGCGCTGCCCCTTCGCCTCTGGAGAGCAGTGTGGATGTTTGTTGACCTTATTTTTCTTTGCCTAGAATGAGACTTAGTTCAGCTCCTAGGAGCTGTTTCCCCAGTATTTAAAATTTGAATTTGCCTCCATTTTGTCCTGACTCGTTCCTCTTTCCAGTGTAATTTAGTCCCACGTCCTTGGTCTCCTCCCTAATGGCAGGAGACCTTCGGTGTCTTCAGTACTAAAAACAGTGGGTGTAAGGTCCCGCCTGCCCAGGAGGTCTTTCTGCTTCCTGGTGCTGCCCCCACAGGCTCCAGGCAGCGGACGGCTGAGAATCAGGGTGGCGGGGAGGGCGGGGTGTCTGCAGGCGGCGCCTCAGTGTGTCTACCCGGGCTCCCCTGCAGCACAGCCACACAGCAGGCTTCGCCTCGCCGCGCTGCGTTCCCTTGGAGCGCTCCGACACGTTCCTTTGTCCCAGGGTGTCGGGGCCCCTCAGACAGTCCTTAAACGCAGAGAACTAAGTGTTGTGCGAGGTCCAGAGCGCCGCACTCCTTCTCAGAGCAGGCAGAGGCGCACACTAACACCACACATTCTTCCCCTCTCTTTGCAGGGAGTGCGACGTCCACCCCTCACCCCTCGGCCCGGCCCTTGTTGTCCAGCACACCGGGGCAGCTGCCCCCACCTCTGAGCTTCCCCGCGCCGCCGCAAGTATGGCGTCCAGTAGTGAGCCCACTGTCTTCCCCACTGGCCATTGAAGCTGACCGTTTGGGTCAGGATTTAGCATATAGTCTGGGAAAATCTCACACTGCTCATTTCAGAATGAGTTATTTTAAAAAATGTATCGACAAAAGTCACTTGGGTTTCTCTTAGCATCTAGACTTGGAAAATGCAGCTTGTCTTTTGGTAAAGCTTTGGCGAGATGCCTTCTCCAGTGTGGAGGCCTGCCGGTTGTGGATGTAACCCTTGGGTGACTTGGTGTCCACCCCTCACTGCTGATGCGCTTCACTGACTCCCCAGGCTGCGCTCTGGAGCCCGTCTGTGGCGTGTGGCATGACCACTCCTCCGACCTCTCCTGGAACTGTTTCGTCCGACGCGTCGCACCCTTACAGTAAAGTCTTCGGTATGTGTGTCTTAGGTGGGGTTTGGGAGGTCGGGCGGGCCTGCCTCTGATGACTGGGAATGGTCTCTTAGATCTGACAGTGACTTTGGGGGCCCCTTGCAGTGCTAACCCTGATGTTGACACTGAATGCAAACCTCTCACGTACATGGCTTCCGGAACATGTAACGTAAACCAAAAAAAAGACTGGCCCATCCCCAGCTGGTGTGGCTCACTGGACTGAGCCCCACTTTGCAAAGCGAAGGGTCACCTGTTCGATTCCTGGTCAGGGCACACGCCTGGGTTTTGCGCCAGGTCCCCAGTTGGGGGTGTGCAAGAAGCAACTGATCTGTTTCTCTTGCAAGTCAGTGTTTCTTTCCCTCTCTTTCTTGCTCCCTTTACCTCTTTCTCAAAATATATAAATAAAATCTAAAAAAAAAAAAAAAAAAAGACTGGCTTAGATGCCCAGAGAGTTAACTCGAATTTCTTTCTTTGCAGTGACAGGTGGGCTGAGAATAATCCCGTCGTTTTTCTAACAAGGGGGCTCAGTTCAGTGACCGTGTGTTCTGCCCTTGTCTCCGAACAGGAGGAAAAGGGACGCCCCTGGGCACCCCCGCCACCTCTCCTCCTCCGGCCCCGCTCTGTCACACCGAAGACTTCGTGCACGTGTCCCTCCCCCAGCTGGCAGCTGTGCCCCCCCGGAAGGTACGCTCGGCCACCTGCTGCCCAAGCACCTGCCTGGTGGGGCCTGTTGTGGGAGACAGAACTTGGGCCTGAAAGGGGGTGGGTTTGAACCAGGACGTTTGAAAACAGACTCAGCAGCAGGTCTGCACGTGCGGTGAGCTGACTTGTCGGGACCCACCAGGTCAGAAGTCTTTCCACTGCAGTCCTAAGCTGTCCCTAAGCTGTCATTTGTCCCCCTACTGCCCTGAGCTTGAGGTAGAGAGACAATGGTGGGTAAACATTGGCCCCGGAGCACAAATCCCGGCAGGCGCCCACCTCCTTCCTTGACATGTTGTTTCAGTGTGAAGGAGGAAAACAAACCAAAAAAACTAACTTAAAAATGTGTTCCGTGGAAAGCAGTAAAAATTACTAGTTTGGTTAAGTCTCAGCCTCAGGCCCACTTGTGTGTGATGCTGTTTGTGGTAAGGAGAGTGCAGGGCAAGCACTCACCGCTCAGTGGGGTGGCGGGGACCCGGGCCTCCTGCTGCCCGCCCTCCCGCAGCGCTGTCTGCTATGGAGGACAGCCGGGGGGGCACGGACTGGTTGTTCAGACCCAAGTGGGTATCGGCAGCTAGTTTCTTAAATGATGAACTGAGCCTGTCCCTTCACGACAAATGCCGACAGCATTTGTTGCAGTGACGACATTAACTCCCAGGGGAAGCCGGAGCGTTAAAACACTGGCACCCGCCCCACAAGCTCGGTGGCTTCCCCTGGGCTTGCCGGGTGGGACCGGAGCGTCTGAGAAGCTTGGTTAGGGGCTGGAGGGTTCAGTGTTGGGAAGTGCAGCCCGTCAGCGAGTCCGTGTGACCCGGGGCACCGGTGCTTTCCAAGTGACCCAAGTGTGGTGCCGCTCAGGGCCCTGGGTGATATGCGGTGTGAGAAGTTAACCGCCATGGTTTCAGATTTCACTTTGTAATTACCGTTTAAGGAATAATCCAGGATCGAGTTTGAGTGTCACATCAAAGGTGGTTATCCACAGTTACCTGGAAAGTGCTCACACTTGCTCACCCCTGCTTCTCTGTGGGGCCCGGGGCCCGTTGCCGTGCGTTAGCTGGAATGCCGTGTCCCTGGGACTGAAGGCAGAGGCAGGTGCGGGAGCCCCGCTGCCTTCGGCTGAAGCCGGACGGTATAGAGACGCTGACGGTGTAGAACAGCTCCACTCTCCCCGCTCCTTTATTTTTGGTTGGGGAAATAGAGATGAGTTTTTTTTCTTGGCTTTTGTTTTAAATAAAAATATGTGTCGTTGCCCTGGCTGGTGTAGCTCAGTGGATTGAGTGCGGGCCTGTGAACCTTTAAAGGATCGCGGTTCGATTCCCAGTCAGGGCACATGCCTGGGTTGCAGGCCAGGTCCCAGCAGGGGACACACAGGAGGCAACCATACATTGATATTTCTGTCTCTCTCTCCTTCCCTTCCCCTCTAAAGATAAGTAAATAAAATCTTTTAAAACCTGTTGTTTTTGTTTATAGGTAGGGGGTTTGTTATTTTTAAGTGAGTTAATGACCTTTAACATTTCTGTTTTAATTTTAATACAGTAACTATCACTAGGTAAAACCACATAAATAAAAGCTCTTGGGATTCTCATGAATTTTTAAGAATACGAAGGCCTCCTGAGCCCAAATAGTTTGCAAACACTTAGGGCATTAAACTCCTTTCTAATCTAAAAATGCAGACATTAGGCTGTTTCTCTTACATCTGAGAACACGTACTGGCTTCGCCGTGTGACGTGAGCGGTGCCTGTCTTTTCAGGAGGAGAGAGCGGACGTGGCCCGGCCCAGCCTGCACAGACAGCAGCACGTCCCGAGCGACCGCGGGCCAGGTAAAGTCCCCGGGGGGCCACAGACCTCGCCTGCCGCCTCGGGTCCAGCTGTGTGTGGAGACGGGGGCAGTGCACTGGGGCCCAGAGGCAAATAGCAAAACCTGTGCTTCACCCCGAAAGCCACCCAGTGACGGCCGCAGAAAAAGCTTTAACCCGCTGCGGCGCGGTGCCTGTGCATCGAGCTGTCGGACTGGTTTCGTCTGTTCTCTGAGTGCTGAGAACGGAGAATCTTGTGTTCTGTGGGTCAGTTTTCTGGCACCTTTAATCAGATCATGGGCAGTGCGTTAGCTTTCTCTAGTAGCCCCCGGGGAGCGTCCCCGGCCTCACGCACCGTCCCATGGGAAGAGCTGTGGACGCTGCGCCACAGGGGGGCAGTGTCTGGGTGCTGCTTCGACGTGAGTTGTCTTGGTTTCTCTTTAGAAGAGCTCTCTGGCAACAAAGGCTCTGTCACTCTTAGCGACCTTCCAGAGTTTCTGGGCGACCTGGCCTCTGGAGAAGACAGCATTGAGAAAGATAAAGAGGAAGGTAATGTGTGCGGGGTCCGGGGCTCAGATGAGGCTGCTGGGCGCCGGGTTTACTGTCAGCGTTGCCAGGCTCGCTTGGCTTTTCTTCTAATGGGGGAGAAGGTGGGAGTTTTGTTTGGGTCCGTGGCCAGGGAAAGGGTTGCCGCTCTGTGTCTGCCTTTCCGAGTGGCACGTGGCAGTATGCCGCCCTGCCCTGCCTGGCCTCCCCTCCATGGCCTGTTTGCCATTGCGTTCCTTGTCGCCCTCTCTCTTAGCGGCAATATCTAAAGAACTTTCGGAGATCACCCCAGCTGATGCCGAGCCCCTGGTCCCTCGAGGAGGCTTCGACTCTCCCTTCTACCAGGACAGTGTCTCGGGCTGTCCCAGGAAGACCCCTTCTAGCACCTCCAGTGTCCAGGGTGCCTTTGTGCACCCCGAGCCTTCCAACTCCTCCCTGGACAAGCTGGGACCTGACACACCGAAGCAAGCCTTTACTCCCATAGAGCTGCCTGGTGCGGGCACCGATGAAGGCCCTGCTGGGCACAGGGGGTGCCAGACCCCCCTGGAGACCAGTATCATCACTCCCAGCCCTTATAAAATTCCTCTTCAGAGGGGCCCACGCTTTGGAAGTGGGCAGCCTCCCCTCTACGATCATCTTTTCGAGGTGGCATTGCCAAAGACTGCCCATCACTTCATCAGCAAGAAGACTAAGGACCTGTTAAAGAAAGTGAGAGGAAACGCAGAGGAAGACCTCACGCCCTCTGCCTCCCCACTGGAGATCCTGGACAGGCTGATCCAGCAGGGGGCCGACGCGCACAGCAAGGAGCTGAGCAAGTAAGTCGCTGGTGGGGCCCGCCCTCCCTCGGGGCCCAGCTGTAATGCGCAGTCGGAGGCAGGAGGGTGCGGGCGGGTCGTGCCCTCACCTGGAGGCTGCTGTTGCTCCTGCCGGTCAGATATCCCTCCGCTTGTCGCCTTCTCGTCTACGTAACTGTGTAGTGCACGTTGAATCGGACCATCCTCGCAGTGTTTCACTGTAACGTGAGTCTTAATGCATAGGCTGTTGGGGCCACTGCTCTGTGGGGACGTTCAGCGCTTTCACATTTGCTCTCAAAGTTTGAGGGTGAGGTCATGGTATTTCAAATGTAGGAATATTTGTCACAGTGCCCCTCTTTGTCTAGCTACAGGTGGTTGGTGACAGGCAAACAGGTGGAAGATAAAACCAACCACCTTTCAGTGGTCCCATCCCCTCCCATTGGTGCACGTGGTTTCTTAGAAATCTGTCAGATACACTTCTTTTTTGGTAGTCCTCACCTAAGGACGTGTTTATTGATTTTAGAGAGAGAGGGCGGGCAGGGAGAGAGGAAATATTAATGGGAGGGAGAAACATTGATTGGTTGCCTCCTGTATACACCCTGATCGGGGATCGAACCCACAACCTGTTGGTGGGTGGGGCTGGTGCTCCAACCAGCTGAGCCACCCACCAGGGCTCAGCCTTTCTTTTGTTACTCTTTTCCAAGGGGGTAAGGGAAGTTAGAAACCATTTCTCAACGCGTTCTTGGGGGATATTAGTTTTTGTTTTTCTTCTATAAATTAGTCTAAGGTAGATTTTGACAGAGATTGTGGAATTTAAGATACCTTTTTACATGAAATTCGGTATTCTAGGCCCAGGCACATTACCTCCTTTTTCTTTAAACTCGGGTGACAGGAGCTTCTCAACCCAGAGCTCTTCCCTGTGCATTTCAACGGAAAGGGGTGAAGACAGGCAGCTCTCGGTGTTTGCTCCCCAGGCGCTGGCAGAGCTGAGCAGCACCCGCCGGTGCAGAGTGGGCTCGGCAGTGGGGCCTCTCCACACGGGGGCTAGGGTCACGCATTCTGGGGCGCTGGCCCCTCGCATGGCTCTGAGGCTCCTCCACTGACTCCAGGTGGACTTGGCCTTGGAGACTCTCTTATGCCACGAGGAAGTGATCTGACCTTGCTGCCATGAAAAGTCCACATACTTTTTTCTAGGTAAGATCAGTAACTTTGTTATTTAAAAACTTCTTCCTAGGTTGTCTTTACCCAGCAAGTCTGCCGACTGGACCCACTTTGGAGGTAAAGTTGTTACTTTAGCTCCACGTGCAGCCCCCACAGGTTCTGCCTGCTTGTTGCCTTTTCTGTCCTGGAGGGAAGGGGCCCTACCGGAAGCAGACCTCCCCTGTGCTCCTGTTCCTCTGCGTGTCTGTCCTCTGGGCCAAGGGAAGTCTCCAGTGTCTCGCACAGTCAGCGTTTGCTGTTTCTGAAAAGGGGCAAAGAGCATGCACTTTGTGTACCTTGCAGGAGAGTCACAAAGAGGAGCGCAGCGTAGTGAACAGTACCAGGAGAGTTCCTGGGGGAGAACACACGGGGCAGGGAAGAAAAGGGTCGCTAGGAGTGTGTACCTGTGGTTGCAGCGTGTGGGGAGAAATAGTGCTCTCAGAGGGTCACCGCACGTTAGGCCCTTTGCGACCCTTTAAAGGGAAGTAGGTGGTAAATATCACCCCGTCTCCCTAATGCATGACGGGTGCTGGGGACCAAGTGGTCATTTGCTAAGCAAATGGCAGTGTGCTCCTTAAAGAGCTGGTTTCTCAAGCTAACTGACCAGGGTGGGCCCTTGATTGAACAGTATGTAAACAGCATCTCTGCCACCCTCCCTCTGCTTTAAAATCAGGCTCTCCTCCCGCAGATGAGGTCCGCACCCTCCGTAACCAGTTGCTTTTACTGCACAACCAGTTGCTCTATGAGCGCTTTAAGAGGCAGCAGCACGCCGTCCGGAACAGGCGGCTCCTCCGCAAGGTGATCAGAGCGGCGGCTCTGGAGGAGCACAACGCGGCCATGGTGAGCGCTGTGGGGTGGCGGAGGGGTGGGGTCACCCGTGGTCTGTGGTGAGCAGCCCCTGAGCCGAGTGAGAGAGGCTGCCTTGTCTCTGAGGGTGACATGGGAGTGGTTGCATCTCTGAGCTCCCTTGCAGATCTTAGAGTCCGTGGGGACAATGGATTTTTTTTGTGCTTGTGATTGGCTGTGATGACAACAGGGCCAAAACATTATTTCATTTCTCCAAATGTGCAACCAGCTCTCCTGAAGCCACTTATGCCCCAAACACTTGGCACAGTTATGAAGCCACAAGTTGGTTGGGAGACTGGGCCTTGGCTCTACAACTTAGGAAAATAACTGAGCCTCCCGTAGCCTGTCGCCTGGTCCGTAACACGAGAGGAGCACCAGCACTTGCCTAGTGCCCAGCGCACTCTTCTGGAGTGGTGGACTTCACTTGATCGGGAGCAACTTGACCCCTGAGAAAAGTTCTTTAAGCAACTTAGTGTCCATGTGCTAATGTGAAACTTGGTAACCCTGGAGCTAAAGCCAGGTTAGGTAGTAGGGGCTGTCAGGCTCACGCTGGAAAGCAGCTGAAATGATGACATCTTTTGTCTCGGCTAGAAAGATCAGTTGAAGTTACAAGAGAAAGACATCCAGATATGGAAGGTTAGTCTACAGAAGGAACAAGCCAGATACAGCCAGCTGCAGGAGCAGCGGGACACCGTGGTCAGCCAGCTGCACAGCCAGATCAGGCAGCTGCAGCATGACCGAGAAGAATTCTACAACCAGAGCCAGGAATTGGAGGTACGAGCTGCGGTACCCGCAGCCCACGCAGACAGGGCCCGGAGCACTGTGTGTGTGTGGCCACGATGAACTGCTTTTGTCTCTGAGGCCGTGGCTGCTAGGTATCTGGGCAGGTCCGTTTCGTGCAGGGCGGGGGCTCCTGGAACCCTTGGTGTGCCAGTGATTGTATCCCGGCTCTCCGTAGTCACAACAGGCAGCTGACAGTTCTGCTTGCTGAGCAGATCCGAACAGTGTAGCGAGTGGCTGTGCTGACAGCACAGTGCCCGTCTGAAATTCCACACAAAGCCCCGACGTCTGAGAGGACACAGCTGCTCACCGGTGCTGTTGTGTGCGTGCCTCTGGGCACCGCGCGGCCTAAGGGCCCGGAGCCGCCTGCACGTCCGGGCTCTTGGTTCCCCGGTGTTTCTTATCCCACTGGCCACAGAAGCTCAGCTTCGAGAGGAGGCGATGTCATTGGTGGGCAGGGAGGTGTAACACTGAACCTGAACTACCTCCAGCCAGTATTGCGAGTGATGACCAACAGATGTCGCTGTCTTTCCCTCAAAAATAAAACATCTTGCAGCGTCCCAGGTTTGCTTTGCAGCCCCAGGGCTCTGGGTACAGTTTGGGAACCAGGGGTCTGAGGCCTCTTTTTCCCTTTGGTAAACAAATCAGGCGCTCAGAAACCCACTGCAACTTACTGTTTTAAAAAATCAGGTTCCTTTTATTTTTAGAGAGGTGAGTGGGTAGGAGAAAGGGAGAGAAACATCTGCCCACAACCCAGGCATGTGCCCTGACCAGGAATCGAACAACCAGCCTTTCAGTTTGCAGGACGACACCTAATCCTCTGAGCTGCACCAGTCAGGACTATGACTTACTTTTTAAAACTAAGAATGAATTCCCGGTGGCCCACTGAGGAACAAGGCTCCGGTGGTACCTGGGGGGCCAGCCTGCCAGCGCTCTGACCCAAGGCATCTCTTTGGGCAGACAAAGCTGGAGGACTGCAGGAACATGGTTGCCGAGCTGCGGCTGGAGCTTAAGAAGGCCAACAGCAAGGTGTGCCACACCGAGCTGCTGCTCAGCCAGGTGTCTCAGAAGGTAGGAGGGGGCGGGGCTGGGGCTGCGCTCTGGCTGATGGTCTTCCTTCAGGTGGGCTGGTGTGTCTCCACATGTCTGTCAGGGGTTCCCAACAGGGAGGGAGTCTGCTCCTCCCCGCCAGGGGGCAGTTGGCAAGGTTTAGACGTGTTTCTGGTGCTGTTGATGTGGAACGGGGGTGCTGCTCAGCACCTGTCAGGGGTGGGCCACCTAAGCCCTTGCCATGGGTGTCCTGGGAGCTCTTGCCCACGCCTTCTGCGTGCAGACATGCCGAGTCTGTTCAGATTTTTGAGCTGTGGTCCCTCTCTGTGTGGGACTCCGTGCAGCCAGCAGTCACATGGTCAGGAGCAGGTGAGTCTTCCCTGGGGCTCTGTCCCGGGGACTGAAGGTCCCCTCGGGGGTTCTGCACGTCGCCTTCTTCCCGGCGTCCTGGAGCAGCCCCGTGGTGTGGTGCACTGCTTCTCCCCTTTGCCAGCACGGCTTTGAAGTGCTTCTCTGTCCGCGCTCTTCGCCCCCGATGCCTTCCTCCCCACCAGCCAGGCTCGGGAGCTTGAAACCGTGGGAGCTGTCGATTCTGCCCCACACGGACGCTGTGCCGCTGGCTGGTTCCGTCTGAGGGCCTTCCGTTGCTTGTCCCTGTGTCTCGGTCAGCTCTCAAATAGCGAGTCGGTCCAGCAGCAGATGGAGTTTCTGAACAGGCAGCTGCTGGTTCTCGGGGAGGTCAACGAGCTGTATCTGGAACAGCTGCAGAACAAGCATTCGGACACCACCAAGGTAGGCTGGGCTCGTGGGACCGAGGTGGTGTGTCCGCGGCATGTCCCACTGCAGTCCTCCCGTCCCTCCCTCCCTGCCTGTCCTGACCCAGTGAGCCAAGCACTGCTCACTCGTGCTGTGCACTTGTTTCCCAGGTTGGGTGGCTTTGAAATTCAGTCAGGTGTCCTTGAAAGCACCTGAGGCGGACTGGTACAGAGGAGGTGACGAGAGGGTTGCCCTTCTCCTGCCCCAGCGCCTTTTCGGGGGGGAGGTGAGGGGAGGAGGAAGGGAGGGAGGCGATGGGGAGCTGGCTGTTCCTCATGACTTTCAGGGCTGTGGGTGTGTACTGGTAAGCCTGCGCACCTTCCTTTTGATGCACAATTGAGTTCCAGCAGATGGTGGTTGAGCCTGGCAACAAGGCCAGCATGGGATGGTCTTACGTTAATTAGTGCTTCACTGGTGGCACTGAGACAGGAGTTTTGTGTCACTTTACAAATAGCCTCGGGTAGTATGAGTGATGAGTTGGGAACAGCATTGCGATAGCAGAAGCTCAGATGTGCCCTGTCACCCACTTTCCCGTCACACACAGGCTTCTTTGTGGGGCTGCTGTGCCTGTGCTTTGTAGAGCATCCTTGGCCGAATGCAGAGAGTCGTCTTAGAACCAGAGAGGGAGTTTTATAATGGGATTACTCCTTATTTCTCAGCGCTGACTCCTTTAGAAGGAAGTTAAATGTGGAACTTTCTCTAGAATCCATCTTTCACTTAATTTGGAAGCATAATGAATGGCTTTGGAGGAAGGGAGAGGAAACAGACCTATGGGAGAAGAGCCCCTCCGACAGGCTGCTCAGGCGTCAACAGGTCCCTGATGCCCTGAGAGCAGTGTGTCCGGACGGCCTCTGTGCCGCCATGTTTCGGGCACCTGTTCACTCTGGGCCTCAAGCAAGCCCGCTGGGCTCTCGGGCCGTTGCTCAGTTCACACCCTGAAACAGGCACCTTCAGCTTCGGGCCGCCACGAAGAACACTCAAGGGGCTTGTCACTAAGGAGTTTCATTACTGCACTTGGGAGGTCCTGAGGCAGGTGAGCAGTGTAGGGCCAGCTGCAGGGAGGCTGGCTCTTTCCACTGTCACCGCTGACCTGGCCCTTCAACCTGGCCCTCGGGCTAGCAGTGCTCATGGCCACAAGGTGTGTACCCGTGACCTTGGCCGCAGATGGATGCCACAGTGTCCTGGGGAAGGGAGAGTGTCCCTTTCCACAGGGCTCTCTGCAAGGAAACCTTTCCCAGGACCTGTCTGCTGGGCTTCCCACCCTTGCTTCTGGCCAGGATTGTGCCACATGCCATCGATAGCCAGTCCTTGCCTGTTGCCGCCCTGGTTCGCCCCCAGGACCGAGAGCTTAGCTTCCTTCTGCTCAGGCAGGTAGGGAGTGGCTGGCGGGTGTGAGGGCCGGTGAGAGCACACGTCCTCCCTAGTCCAGTGCTTTGTCTGTGTCTGCATCACTCTCTGCTGTCACTCAGGACAAAGATCTGATTGGTTCCCTGACCTGGGCTGATGTCTGGGGCCAGGAGGTACAGCTGGGATGGTCACAGGGTCTGGTGCCTGTTCAGAGTGTCAGGCAGTCACGTCCCTGCTGGTTCTTCTGGGTCAGCCAAATAGTCCGTTACATTTTTTTTTTTCTGTGTGATCACTCTGGTAGTGCTGAGTTGTCTTTAACTTCATTGGAAACAGATTTTTTAGGTTGTATTGTGACAGCTGTCCTGTCAGCGTGCATTTAAAAAAAAAACCAAAATTGGTGAAATTTTGTGCAGCCATTTTAATATTGAAGGTGGAAAAAAATACAGAACATATTTGGCATATTATGCTTTATTATTTCAAGAAAGGTAAAAATGCATCTGAAATGCAAAACAAGATTTGTGCAGTGTGTGGAGAAGGCACCGTGACCGACTGAGTGTGTTCAAAGTGGTATCCAAAGTTTCTTACACTGTTGACACGTTGGCCGCCAGTTCTCTGCTCTGCTGTGGGGCTGTCTCCAGCACCCTGGCCTCTCCCCACTAGAAGCTAATGGTGGGAGAGAGCTGACATGCTCAAAATATCCGGCCGCCCTTGAGGAGGGTGCTGTGGTGGGAGCCCACTCCCTCCTCCTCGTGGCTTAGTGTCGTCTTCGGAAAGCCCGCCGCGGCGGATTCCATCATTCGTGTTTTGCCACACAAATACGGCACACATGTAATGCGTGCTTGTTCAGAGGGGTCCTTTCACGTCTTGTCTGAGTGTAGCGCTCGCCTGCACGGGGTTTCCGCCGGCTCCATCCGGGCCCGGCTGGCTCTGCATCTCCAGGTGCTGCTTCGCCCAGGGGCCCCGCTGGGCCGGTGGCCCCCTGCGGCTTGCCCGTAGGGGTCTGAGCAGGAGGAGAGGCGCGGAAAGAAAACAGAAGGCCCGTGAGTGCCCTGGGCTGAAACGACCACTGCAGGCGGGCTTCTCGTCCTTCGGCGTCCTGTGAGTGGGTGTTACGGCTGAGCCCGTGGTCCACAGGGCTGCAGGCAGCTGCTCCACCGTGTCACTGGTGCACGTGATGGGCTCCCAAGCACAGGAGGCACTTCCCTGGCGTTAGGCCCTGTAACAGCATCTCTGGGTTTTTGCTCTTCTGGGTATGCTCTGGTGGTTCTTTCAGGACCAGGATGTCTGTCCGCGTTCGAGATGGTTACTTTCTGGGTAGGTTGAGAGAAACGGTCCTGGGCCGACGCCCTCTGCAAGCCCCCTTTCCGCGCCCTGGACTGAAGCACAGTGCAGCGCCTGCTTGGTGCCCATTACCTGGGTTTCCCTGACGGCCTTGGCAGGCTGTGTGAAACCACCGCCGCGACCGACGTCGATCGCTTTTTCAGGAAGTGGAGATGATGAAAGCTGCATATCGGAAAGAACTAGAAAAGCACAGAAGCCACGTGCTCCAGCAGAGTCAGAGGCTCGACACCTCCCAGAAACGGATTTTGGAGCTGGAGTCTCAGCTGGCCAGGAAGGACCACCTTCTTCTAGAGCAGAAGAAGTACTTGGAGGATGTCAAGCTGCAGGCCAGGTAACTGCTGCCACTGGAAGGGGCTCTGCGGCGCCATGTGGGGGTGCGCAGCGGGCCCGCCCACTCCTGCTGGGCTGTGTCTTTCAGAGGGCAGCTGCAGGCCGCAGAGAGCAGGTATGAGGCTCAGAGAAGGGTCACCCAGGTGTTTGAACTGAAGATCCTAGACTTATATGGCAGGTTGGAGAAAGACGGCCTCCTGAAAAAACTTGAAGATGAGAAAACAGAAGCAGTAGAAGCAGCAGAAGAAAGGTAAGAACAGAGTGGGCGTCTTAGGGCCTTGTCATTGATGCCATGGACAGAGCGAGGGCTGCATGGCGGGGCTCAGGGCTGTCAAGAGACTGATTGGGCAGCCTCAGCCCCCAGCTCCAGCCCTCCCAGAGCCCCGAGCAGTGTCCCCTCATCCCACCACACTCCCTTTCCTGGTCCTGAGTCCCTCAACAGGGTCCCAGGGAGTGTCTGTGTGTAAGATGGCTGTCTTTCAGTCCTAGTTGTCACTTAGAAGTCTTCTGATGAGGCCTTGTGCCTGAGTCCTCTGCCATGCTAGCGTGAGCAGCCCTGCGCCTCCCCCACGGCGCCGCTATCACCAGCGCTTTTCTCCTCCCTTGGTTTCTTACAGGCTCGACTGTTGTAATGACAGCTGCTCAGACTCTGTGACAGTGCACAGTGAAGAGGCATCTGGCCGCAATGGTGAGACCAAGCCCCCCAGGCCTTGCAGCACCCGGGGCGCTGGGGGAGGCAGAGGAGGTGGGGGCAGCAGCAGCAGCAGCAGCAGCCAGCTCTCCAGCCCGGAGAAACCGCCGAACCCGAGGGCTGGCCCGTTCAGCAGTTGGTGGGAAGGTGCCACGGGCGAGCCCTCCGCCGGCCTCCCCGCGACTGTTGGCTCACTTCCTAGTTCAAAAAGCTTCCTGGGCATGAAGGCTCGAGAATTGTTTCGTAATAAGAGCGAGAGCCAGTGTGATGAGGATGGCGTGGCCATTGGCAGCCTCTCCGAGACACTAAAGACAGAGCCGGGCAAAGATTCGGGTCTGGAAGCCAAGACTCCCCTGTACCCCGACAGCCCACACCCGTGTCCCCCGAACCCGAACCCGGACAGTGTTGGACAGCTCCGCATCATGGACTACAATGAGACTCATCCTGAACACAGCTAAGGCGGGGTGATCAGTGTTAGCCTGCGTGCTCAGGCACAGGCCGGGAGGCGGGGCCTTCTCAGCGCTCCTGCTCCCGGGGTTTGTGCGGTGGTTCACTTGGTGGAAGAAAGATGCAGGGCCTTTTGACAGCTCATCAGTGCAGGATGGTTTCTGGATCTAGTATTGAAATGCCTCGTAATCCACCCCACCCCCCGTAGTTTTCCCAGCAGTGTGAACCAGCCCCAGGGCCGGTTCGCATTCCTTAGCAGCTTTGCTCCCGTCCTCCCCCAGTGGCTGGGCCCTTTGAACCAGTGCAATATGAGGCCAGATTTCAAGTCTGTCACGCCACTCACTCCTCCTGAGCTCAGGTGGCTGGGCTGGCTCCCCATTAGCCAGGTGACAGGTGGCACTGAGGGAATGCACTGTCCACCCTTTCCAGAGGAGGTAGTGCACAAAGCCGACGTCTTCATGTGGACACTTGTACAGGAGTGGACACTTGTACAGGAGACTTCTGCTGCTTCTGGTTCTGAAGTTAGGCATCTGAAGCAGCAGGTTAGAACAGTGGTTCAGTCACCCTTACGGTCTTTGGCGGTTCCAATAAGCTTTCTAGAAGTTCTTTGTGAACAGAGGTCTGTTGCTGGAAAACCTGGAGCCGGCACTGTGGAGACTACAGTCCCCGTTGGGGACACTGTCTGCTTCCCACTACCTCTCATTTATTCGGCGTGTGCTCAAAAACTGGTCCTGTTAGGACTGCGGGCTGGGGTGTGGGGCGAGCCTGCCGTGTGCAGGGTAGAAGGGTGGGGACCTGGGTAGTTTCCTGAGAAATGCGCGTGGACGAGGCGCTGCCCAGGGCTGGCTCTGCCTGCTCCCCGCGAGTCCCTGCCCTGCAGCAGAGAGGCTGTGGGGCCGGAGGGTTTCCTCAGCGCGCCCGTGGCTGGTGCCGCTCAGGCAGTCAGGGCTGTCTTGCTTAAGCAGCGTCTCGGCCGGCGGGAAGGTAACAGCTTTTTACCGCAGTTCTGACTCAAGGGCCGACTTTCCGGGCGGCATGAGGCCACTGCCCCCGACACGTTAGTGGTGGCGGAGCGGTTTCCAGCAGAGCCCTGCCTCGCAGACAAAGGCTGGCAGCCCACACGCACTCGGGAGAGGTGACACCCGGCAGGACACTGACAGTGGCAGAGGATCCGAACTAGTCAGAAGCTTCTAAAATAAATGCTGGAAGCCTAAGAGTGTTGTCCTGGTGTTCCAGGGGCAGTGAGGAGAAGTGGGCGGGGAAAGTCGGTGCGCTCAGTCTTCCTCTCCGTTCTTGGAGTTCACATCTGGAAGGTTCAGCCGCGAGGAAGGAGAAGACACGTGATGGTGGGAAGTCTTTCTGTCCGTGGGAGCTTCCGGCTCAGGAGGGCAAAACCTCTGTTTTTCAAGCATGGCAGCAAGTATTCTGGTCTCCCCTGCCAGGTGGGGCTGGAGGAGGAGGTTCCATGCCATCGAGACTGTGTGAGCAGGACCCCTGCCTGCCTGGGACAGGGCATGTGGGCGTGACCAGCGTGGGCCCAGCCTGCGGAAGGCTGTCCCTGGGTGTGGTGCTGCCCCGCCGTGTGTACTCCCCAGGGAGCGTCCCACCGTCTGCTCAGTCCACATGCGTCCTAAGGAAAGCTGAAAGACTGCCTAGTTCAGGTTCAGAGAGGAAAACTACAATAGAATTAGGAGGAAGATGGCTCAGAGGAACTGCTGAAACCCTTCTAAATGTGGGCCCTCCCCAGGCCTGGGAGAGCAGGACCCCAGCGCTTAATCAACGCCTCATCTCGTGCTGGTGGGCAGAGACAAGGGGACCCGTGGAAAGAAAGGGCCTCTTTTACATGTGCAGGTTGTGAGAATGCAGAGAAGGCCGTGGGGGGAAGTGGGCCGGGGCCCATGGTGGGCTCTGGGCCGGGGCCCCGGCACATGCCTCCAGCCTGGGTGTCTGTCTGCTCCGCTTTCCAGCCGCAGCAGGGGAGCTGCTGGGTTTTGTGCCGCCAAGGCTGTGACGCCAAGGCTGTGACGCCAGCCTGGAGTCACCTGGAAGTCAGCCCAGAATTATAGGCTTTTGTTTTGCAAAGGGCTTGGTAGTCAGGTTTTGCTTGGTTTTAGAATCGATAAACCTGCTAAGAGTAAAAAGGCATTTTTCAGGGTGGAAAGGGGACTGTGGAGGAAGGCCCATGAATTGGCCTAGGGACAGACCAGGCAGGGGCGCGAGGGCGGAACCCAGGCTGGCAGGGCTCTGGCCCTCGCACACGCTGGGTTGGACAGCCTCTGTTCAGAGCTGAGCACGCTGCCTGGCTAGCGCTGTTTGCCAGAGTCCTGGTCCCACCTGATACCAAGCGGGGTCGGCCCAGACCCTGAGAAGATGGGAGGCCGCCTCTTGGGCGGTGTGAGGTTTTATGAAAGGATCACTACAGTCTCGTGGGGGTGGGGGAGGGGAGAGCGGTGTGGTCTCTGTAGGGAAGATGCACCCACCCCTCCACCTGCTGTAGGTTGGTGCGAGGGTCTGCGTCAAATGTGAACTGCAGCTTGAAAGGGCTTTGAGTGGGCCCTTCCGTGACGTGCAAATCGCTGCTGCAGGCCAGGGGGACTTGCTGGTGCCGGGAGCAAACTGCCTGGAGCTCCAAGGCCGGAGAGGAAGGCTGCTGCTCGGTGGCCAGGGTTACAGAGCTCTTTGTGCAGGGGAGGCAGCCAGCCTGCCCAGGAGGGTGGGTGGACGTGACCTCCCTGGGCTTGTCATAGTTTTTCGGGAGAGAAAACTGCTGAGACCTCGGAATAGTGGCTGAGGGTTCTTCCTGGGCGCTCTGAGCAGAGGGACAGGACAGGTAAGCTGCTTTTGAGGCTGGGTTACAAGTGCTGTCTTCAGGGGGTGCTGTTTCTGGGACCCCACAGTGGGGTCCCAGAAACCACTGACCACGGAGAAGTCAGCCCACGTGCCACCTTGGTCACTGTGGCCACATACTCCCGGGCAGACAGGACAGCAGGAAATGGAACTCCAGATTGGCTGTCAGGCAGCAGCACTCGGAGTTTCAGTGTTCTTGTGGAGAAGGATGGAAGCAGCAGCCACGTGGGAGGTGGTGATGGACTAGATGGGCCCACTGCCACTCGAGGACCTGGCAGCTGGACTGAGGCCGGCGGGGTTTCTGGGAGGAGAGTCTAATGACTGTGCTCACACCAGCCCTCGGAAGGCCCCCAGACCCTGGGACAGACCGCTCTACGCCGAAGGAGTGGGACCAGGTGGAAGGCTGTGCTGCGCAGACGCTGCGCCTGCGCGCGCACCAGGAAGCGGTGAGAGTGCAGGCTGACTGCAGCGGGGTTCGGGCGCAGTGAAGACTTGGTCCAGACTGCGGTGGCGGTGCTGTGCCGCCGTGCGCAGTGCGCAGAGGTGGAGGCTGGCCTTCTCCCCAGAGTGGTCCCCGGAGAGGCCTGGGCCTGCCCAGGAGTGCGTCTCCGGTGGGGGAGGGTGTCTCGCTGGGCGGTCTGCATCAGCACTGCGGGCCCTGCTGCATTTTCGCTCGTTGAGGTGCAGGCTTTAAAACCAGCAGTGAGTGCTGGAAAACGTGTCTGGTCTGAAGACGTCCGTGTACTTGTTTACATCCAGAGTTCTGTGACCCCCCCCCCCAAACACATGCACTGCTGCAGAGGAGTTGATTGCCCCCGAGGAAACTTCTCCCCTGAGGGTGAAGGAGCCAGTTGAGGTCTCTGCTTGGCCCCTGGGCTGCTGCTGTGACCCTTGCCCTAGGTGGCTCCGTCCCCAGCCACGACTGGCCTGCCCAGAGCGAGCAGTGTTTCTGGCTCTCCCACACCATCCCACTGGCCATTGGTGCGCACTCCCCAGAGATGGGTGGCAGCAGCTGCATGGGTACCTGCCCTGGAGGACCGAGCCCTGCCCCTGCCGCTGCCGCAGCCACCACTGGCAGCCCCGACAGGAGTTGAAGAGGCAGAGGCCCTTCCCGCCCCCTCCCCTCCCCTGCCCAGTGCCACAAACTGGCCCGTACTCCGGGCTCTTTGGGATAGCTCAGAGGAGACCCCTGAGAGTTTGAGACGCCCCAGGCCACTCCCAGCTCCCCTCCCTCCACACGGCGCTTGGACAGGAGGGTGCATGCTGCTCTGCACGGCCGGTGCTCTGGCGTGTCTGGCGGGCAGCCGGGCATCTGCACGAGGAGGGGTCATGGGTCACTTTTCAGAGGACCTCTGTGGACAGAGACATCCCGGAGGCACCGGTTCTGCCGTCATAATCTAGTTTTCTAACTTAATCATGGAGCCGGTATGTGCGGCTGACTTGCAGTGAAGAGGTTCCATCACTGAAAAACAGATTGTTTTTTAACTGACTGTTTTTAGTTAAACTTTAAAAAGTCATCTCTTGTCAGAAGGTTTAAACCTTCCCGTCTGGATCGTAAAAGCATGTCACACAGTCCACATCCAGTGCCGTGAACGTGAACTACAAGAGAACATGGTACAATCTTAGTGAGTGGGGACTGGAATCGAAAGGGTTTGCTGTCCTTAGAATGTTCTAAAATGTCGAGGCAGTTGCTTGTGTTTAACTGTGAACAAATAAAAATTTATCGTTTTGCACTACTCTGCTGTGTTGCTGCGAGGTGGCTGGCGTGGCCCCAGAGGGACGCGTCCAGAGCTGTGGAGGCGTCAGGATGTGGTGGGTTGGCTGGTTACTGCTGGTGTGGGGAGGAGGCTGCCGACAGGTTTCAGAACCTGGCTTTCGTCTCTCTGACATCCTTTGTGTTCCGGCAAACCTCCGCAGACAGCCACAGATCCTCAAAATTACCTGCCTGCAGTTCCTGCCCTTTTCCCAGAGTGGCTGGGGTGTGTGCTATGTGACCTGAGTCAGTGCCACCAGAAGCCTCAAAGGCAGGCAGCCTGCTGGGCGTGCGCACACCTGGCCTGGGTGCACTCACGCTCCTGGACGGTGGCTGGCACGTGTGGTTGCAGGCCTGCGTGCGGAGCCCTGAGCACTGACTTGTCCAGAGCCAACTGACCCTGAGCTGCGCCTGCTGGGTTTGTGTGTCAAGGGGAAGGTGCAGCTGGCATCCAGCACCTTCCCCATGTCCTGGGTATGCAGAAGGCAGTGGTGAGCTGTGGTTAAGCGACAGGCCAACCCTGGCCTGGCCATCTCTTGCTTGGGACGTACTGGGACAAAGAGCTTCGTTTGCAACGTGCCTCCACCTGCTGCCCCCTGGAAAGGGATACACTCTACTCATTTTAAGACTGAAAGCAGCTCCTTTGAGACAAAGACTCGGGTGGCAGCTGTTCATTTTGTCTGGAACATTCAGGCGATCTTGTCTGGGTAAGTCTCTAACCCGTGAGAGGCGGCTGCTGGCCGCCTGTGCGTCTGGCAGAGGTACTCGGAAGCGCCCTTTCTGGAGTGGAGTGCGCTCCTGTCGGCAGTGCTCTCACTGTGGGGCTGCCGCCCAGTGTCCTCTGAGCTCAGGGTCAGCGTGGTTTTCACTAAGGGGGAAATCCCAGGAAACCAAGCCAAGCAGACAGGTGGTAGGACACTTTTATTCTTGACAGTAGCCCCCGAGGAAGCAAGAATACAGAAGCTAAGTCGCCCCCTGTGAAGGGAAAAGCCAATAGTCAGCACTTCCGACAAACTCGGAAGCCAGCAGCGTGTTGTGGTGTCTGGGCTTCACTTATGTGGTGGAAACTAGTAACGGTCCTGCTGGGAGCCACGGGATGGGCGTTCTTCCGCCATCTCCCAAGTGGAGGAGAGGGAAGGCAGGCTCGCCCCCTTAGGGCTTTGGTCCAGAGACCCAGCCACACTGGGGACGCTCTGTGTGTGGCCCACAGCAGCCCGGGAGGTGGGAGCCACCCTGTCTGGCCAGAACTGCTCGGCCTCCTGGCTCCACGGCTCAGCCTGCAAAGCTGGACCTGCAGCTGGGCAGCCTGGCCGAGGGGCACCCGGGCTGGGCAGGCATAGCCCTGGCTCTACCCAGCCTCCCAGGACACCCTCCCAGTCACCCCAAGAGCGGAGCTGCTGTTCCTCGGTGCAGAGCCTGGGCGCCAAGGCAAGGGGAAGTGAGCAGTTACAGCAAGAGCGGAAGGCGAGGTTCCCAGTGATATACTGGGGGTCCCTTTGGGGGTTCATGAGTGGCCGGGACTGTGGAGGCTAGTGAAAATGGGTCGACCAGTGGGAACCAAGTGTGGTGACAGCCCCTGTGGGATGGGCCCAGGAGAGGTGACAGGTCGCTGGAGGTCGCTGGCTCAGAGTCACAGTTTCCCGCCAGGTGGTCTCCAAGGAGGTTTGGAACCTCTGTCTTCCCCCCTGGGTCTGAGGCTGCCTTTTGTGAGCTGCCTACCCTGGCGTTCTCTCGGCCAAGGCTGCACGCCTCTGGTCTGGGAAGGCTGGGTGGAGGCCGCGGTGGCCTCCTGACGTTTCCAGGGCTCACTCACGTGCTGCTGCACTTTGCGGGGCAGCTTCTCCGAGTGTGCGATCCATTCTTTCATCAAGTCTAGGAGGAGGGGGATGAGGCTGACCACGCCTCCATAGTGGTTCCTGGCCTCATCGCAACTCAGGTGGTTGACCACGTCGTGAGGGTACCTGTGGGGTGGCCAGGGCCGGTGAGCCCCCAGCACTGAAACTCACTCCCTGGGGCAGGCAGCTGCAGGGCTCCCGTCGGAATACCCAGGGCAGGTGTGGGCACCATGCATGTGCTAGGCTGGGCGCCCCGGGCTGCTCCAATGGCTCCAGAACACAGTTTGTCCCATGACTCCTTCCCACCCTGTCTCAGCAGCTTCCTTGTGAATTGGGGACTTTGTGCGGTGGATCCCCAAGGGGTCAGAATTAGGGAGCCCCACTGGTGGTGCTCACACCCACAGCTTTGCAGGCTTCTAGGAACAGCACTCTGGGAGCCCCTCCCTGCGCCCCGGGCTAGCTCCCGTGAGAGGCTCTGTGTCCCACTGTCTGGGTTTTGTAGGTCCGAGTTGTTCCGCTACATCAGTGGGCCTGGGATTTCCCATCAGCCTCGTCAGTTCAGATGCACCCTCAACGGCAGCCCTCACTCTCCCCCTTTTCTGTCCCTGTTCCATCCCCCGCCCTACATGCCCAGAGGAAGCCTCAAGGACAGGACCTAGGGACTTACTTTGCTCTCAGGCTGCTCAGGTCATTGCTTTGGCTCACGAGTGTTTTGCACTTGTCGAGGAGGCTGTTGGTGACCGGGGTGCCCGAGTGCAGGGCCTCGAAGCGCTGGCAGAGCCTGCTCAGCTCCGCGCAGAGGTCCAGGAACATGTGCAGGATGCGGCGGTCTGTGGCGTTGCTGCAGTGGTGCTCCATGTAGCTCTGCACCTGCGGGCCGGGCCAGCGCCATGAGTGAGCGGCCAGCGCCATGAGTGAGCGGCCGCGCTGTGGGGCAGACATCCCGGAGCAACCCGCTGCACCCCCGAGCCCCAGGCGAGATGCTGGAGTGGTGGAATGGACAGGCCACCAGAGAGCTGACAGTATGCAGTGTCCTGGGCACCAGACAGTGTCTGCAGGCCTGGCTTCACCTCGTCCTCCCCTAAACACTACTACGCCTGCACTGCTCTAAAACCCTCATTTCACAGGTGATCAGCAGCGGCTCAGAGTGGTGGGCAAACATGCTCCGACACTGAGGCTCTGGGCCGGGCCCTCGCCAGTCCCTGGGGACCGCAGCCGAGGCCCAAAGCAGAGGGCCGGTACGCCCCGGTTCCTGCCACAGGCCCACTGCAAGGACTGCTAGGCGGGGCCACCAGACGGAAACTCTTTGCAGCTTTGTTGTCCCATGTGTCCAAGGTGGAGGAAGGGGGGCAGCCCAGCCACAGAACTGGGGAAATGACCGTGTGAGGACACCAGTGTCCCTGCCACACCCACAGATGGGTTGACTCCAGCTGGCAAAGCCCTGGCGCCAAAACTGCACTGACCCCCGGGGGGGAGGCTGCAGAGCAGGGGCAGGGACACTCCCTGAGCAAGTTGGGGTGGTGCTCAGAGGAGGGACACAGCTGGCCTCCTTTCATCTCCTTTCCAGGGAGTTGTGGGATCCCCCCATGTCGGGGGGTTGTCTGTTCCAGAGTAACCAGGCTGACCCCAGGACTCTGGATTTGAGGTCAGGCAGGGGCGAGAGGCCCAGCCTTGTGCTGGGAACTGCCTCGATCTGGTGGGACGCCCCTACTCTCCAGGACCAGTGGGAGGGGCACCCCACTGCCTGCAGTGCCCATAAAGCTCTAAATCTAAGGCAGGGTTTCTTCTGTCACTGGTGCCTGTGTTCCCACACCACCTGATGTGTTCCTTCCCAAGTGCAGTAGCTTTGCAAGGGGGAGTGGCTCTGACCCCCCACCCCCCCCAACCGTGCATGTCCACACACCCGCCTGGGGAGCCCTGGGATGCGGAGGAGCCTGAGCTGCAGCCACAGCAGAGCAGCGTCACCGGGCCACCTGCTGCGTATGTGACCTTTGGATTGGACTGGTCCTCTGCCTGTGGAAGGCGGGCTGAGGGTGGGGAGTCAACACGGGATGGAGAGTCAAATTGTGGGGCCCACTGTCTGCCCAGAGTCTCCGCTATAGCTCAGGCCAGCAAGCCTCACCCTTGTGTACAGGAGGGGCTGGGACGCTCGGCGCTGGCGACCCCTGAGCAGAGGCGGCAGGTCCCAGCACTCCTTCCTTGTGCTGAAAGCCCATCTGCTGCTCTCCTCATTTTACAGATGAGGAAATTGAGGCACAGAGAAGCAAGTCACTGGCCCGAGGTCACAGAGGTGGCCTGGGGCAGAGTGGGACATGAACCCTGGCCCGCTGGGTCTGGAGCCCACGTGTTCAATGGCGCTGTGACAGTTGCTCCCACTCCTGGTGAGCGAGAGAGAAAGGATGGCCTGTCCCAGCAGTGAGGGTCAGAGCCCTGACTCCAAGGGTCGGAGCCCAAACGTGCTTCCCTGCCACGGCCTCTGTTCTCCCATCATTCAGGTGAGGGCGGGGCCCAGGATCCCGGCCCGACCCACCTGCCCGCCCAGGACGGCACCTGCTCAATGCTGGAGATGGGCCGGATCTTGTCGTGGGCGTTTTCGCGGCTGTGCTCCAGCGCTGCGATGAAGGTGAACTGCTGCTGCTGGAACAGCTTGTACTTCTGCTCGATGCTTCGGAGGGACCCCTTCGCCTCGTTCATGGTCCCTGTGGCGCTCACTCCCAGGAGAACAGGCAGGCGTCTGTGGGGCAGGAGATGGGGCACTGAGGTTCCAGCAGCCCCGTCGGGTGCAGGATGCGCACACCCCCCGGGGGGGGGCTGCTGCACCATGCGGGGCCCCTGCAACCCCGGGGGCCAGAGACTGTGGTCACCCCCCAGTTGGCGGAGAAGGAAATGAGCCCCTCCCATGCAAGACACTTGCTCAAGACCCCCCAGGCGGTCCGGGAGCAAGCGGAGCCTGACCCAAGTCCATTCTCCCTGCAGGGACACGTTCTTTGCCATAAAACACAACTTCCTTCCACAGTGGATTGGAATCTCCGGTCCTCCGTCCCCCCAGACTGGGTTCACAGGCGCACCCACGCACACAGCCTCCAGTGCCTCCCTGTGGTGCCAGCGAAAGCCGGGTTTGAGCAGTGTGCCACAGCGGAGGTGGTCAATTCTGTCAACCTCGGCCAAGGGGTTTGAAAACACCCGCTGCCACAGTTCTTTCTGGTGGGCCCGGCAGGCGAGGGACAGCCCTGGCCTGTGGTTTCCCAGCTCCGAGCTTGGGGCCGGGGCCCTGCTCTCCTTTGTCCACTGGGGACAGGGTGCGACCACTGGCCCCTCTTCCATTTCCCACGTTAATTGCAGGATAACTGTGACTGGGGACACACATGCTGCACTGTCCCTGGTGCCGTCCAGGCGGTCCATGGCTCCCCTCTGGGCTCTTCCCTCCAGGACATCATGGGTTTGCTGAGTACACGCAATGTACTCCAGGCGCAGACTTGTGGGACATTAGGGTCGGAATCCCAGCAGGTCAATTTCCCTTTACTTTCGGGGGAAACTGGCACCCAGGGTGTCACAGGAAGCTGGTACCACAGACCGCCCCTCCCCACCCAGGTCCCAGGCTTCTGGCCGGTTAGCCAGCACTCTCGAAGCTGCCACAGCTGGCTGTCCCTGCACCTCAAGGCACCAACACACCTGGAGCCCAGACTTGGACGTGCCCCCTTCCCGTGAGCAGGGGTCAGCGGAGGCTGTGCGGAGGGTGGGGGGCTGGAGCGAGACACCACGAGGGAAGGTTCGGGGGCACATGCCAGGCATCCTGGCGGGTCCTGGGAGGAGAGGAGTACGAACAGGATGGAGCTGGGAGGAGGCATTTCCTTCGGCTCCGGCTCCGGCCCTCGGCACCCGCAGCCCAGAGCAGGGCAGGGGCCAGGGAGGACATTTGTAGCAAAAGGAGGTGACATCAGGGACGAAAGGAAACGCAAGGACAGAAGATGGCCAGCTTCTGTCTGGGACTTGATGGGGGCAGCCAGTCAGAGAACTTGGTGGGGTGGGGGGCTGTAGAGACACAGCCCACGTCCTGGGCAAGGAGCTGACGGGCAGCCCAGTTGCCGCAACGGAGCCAGGCCAGAAGGGACCCCAACAATCATCCCCCGCAACCATGGGTGGGCCCACCGTAAATACAATGGAGCACACTTCCACGGCAGCGTCACGGCAGCGTCACGGCACCAGGGTTTGCCGACAGAGCCGCACAGCTGCACCAGGGCCTGGCCCAGGGCCAGGTGGGGCGGCAGCACACAGCTCAGCCTCCTCCCCCATCTGGAGTGGGCAGCGGGAGGAGGGCCAGGGTGGTGGGGACGCAGTGGGGGCCACTGTCTGTCAAACACCTGCTGTATCCAGTATCCAGCCGAGGTGTCCTCCCCCGCCCCCTCCCACCCGGAGGCGTGGCTTTTTGTTGTGTCTCCCCTGCATCGGTCCCTCCGAGCCTGGACTGGGTGTGGCGAGTGAGGCACTCAGCTTGGGGCAAAATTCAAGGGGGTGCCAGACACTAACTAGGCAATCAAAATGGGTAAAAATATTTAATGCACTACTGTAAAAAATAAAAGTCAACACTGGAAGTTCCACGGAGAACCAAGTATGGGAATTTCGAGTACGGACCATCCGGGCACCTTGCCATTGTGGAGCCTGAGGCTAACGGGCAGCTCAGTAATACCTATCCTTTTAAAGGCCTGGCTTTTTTTTTTAATTTTTAAAAAAGATTTTATTTATTTTTAAAGGGGAGGAGGGAGAAAGAGATGGAGAGAAACATCAACGTGTGGTTGCCTCTCACATGCCCCCTAGTGGGGACTTGGCTTGCAACCCAGGCACGTGCCCTGACTGGGAATCCACTGGTCCTGCTTTGGTTTGTAGGCCGGCACTCAATCCACTGAGCCACAGCAGCCAGGGCAAATTTGTGATTCATTTTATTCTAAATGAATTTGTGCGTCAACTTAGATTTTTTAAAATATTGCATTAAAACGCTATTTTCTTGATTACTGAGGTGTGGGGCACCCCCTTAATGTTCTGCCTCACTGGCCTCACCTCACTGGGGCCCAGGCAGGGTTCACACACACCCCCGAAGTGGAAGCTGCCTAGGAAGCCCGAGTGCAGTGCACTGTGGATGCTTAGGGAGGGCCAGCCCGGCCTTGAGCTGGGGTCAGCGGCTGAGAACGTCACACAGTCCTGGCTCCCACACTTCTTGCTGGCTTTGTGTCAGCTGCTCCCCAAGGCCCAGCATTCTGCCGGCTCTAAATCCCTGGCTGTGCCCTACCTCCAGTCCTTACCATGGCCCTGTGGACAGGGTCCCACAATTATCCCCACTAAACAGGTGATGAAGCTGAGATCAAGTGGCTGGAAAGAGAGCAAGCCAGGGTTGCCTGTTCCCCTCTGCCTGACTGAGCAAAGTCTGGGCTCTTTATATCTCCCTCCTTCCCTTGGGGATGAGCTGTAGTAGAGACAAACATGCCACATGTCAGACTAACTTCAGTCAGGCGTCAGGGGGGCCAGAAGTGCTGCTGAACCCTCCTAGGAACCATGCACTAGCTGGACCCCGGGGCCTTGCTTTTCCACTCCCATGAGATTGTTCTGTTCCGCATTCCGGGGCTGCCCTGTGCACCTGGCCCCCGCCACCGTCCTGGGGCTGCCAAGCCCTCAGGAGCACAGCACTGCCTCGTCTGGTGGCCCCAAGGGCCCCTGAGAGAAAAACTGGCTCAGCCCTTGATCCTAGTGACTTGTGACATGCATGCCAGGAATGTCGTGAGAGCAGCTGTAATAATCTATCCAAAGTGATCATCCCTTGAACAAGGCTCACTGCAGCCAAATTAGCCGGGATGAAAGGCACAGGGTGCAAGCACTTCTCGATCTGGGGGAGGAGGAAGGAAAAAATGATTACCCAATAGGTTTTGGCTTTAATTGATTTGTATTTTTCCAGGCTGCTAAAGATGATTAAATCTTGGTTTGAAAAGTGCCTAGGGCTTAAAATAAATGAGGAGAAAGGCAAGTCATTTCAGAAATGTCCAGGAAGCAAGCGAACCTCTCCAGTGCAAATTGCAGGCTTGGTGGTTGTGTTCTTTGTTCCGGGGGAGGCAGCCTCCTTTCTTCCCCGGCTGTCTCTGCAGTTGGGTCTGACAGGCCTACCTGGGCCTGCAGGCTTTGAGCTGTGGTTCCCAGCGGGAGGCAAAACAGCCTCTCCCCCTCTGGAGGGCGTGTCTCTGGGCTGCTGACAGGTGGAAAAGGCTTTGGCTAGGAGTCCGGACACCTAGTTCCAGCCTTGGCTCTGCCACTAACAAGTGGCCTTGGCCAACAGTTTCCCCCTTTCTGGGCTTCAGTTTACCGCCCTCCCCCCCGCCCATAAAATGAGTATGGATTAGTGGCTTTCCAAGGGGCTTTTGGAGTCTGATGCTCCGTGATCAACAACCGATGAGGAGAGAGGCCCAGAAAGGGGACATGACTTGGCCGAGTATTTTTCACCATGCTGTTCCTCCAAATTCTCATGTGTAAAATGGGAATGAAGGTACCCACTTCTTAGGGATGGAGCGAAGATTAAATGAGATAATACTAACAGTAGCCCCTATGCAGCGTGCCCTTACCAGATGCCAGTTTCTGTCCAATAATTCCAGATATCATGGGATCCTCCCATAACCCCCACTTCATGGGGGAGGAAAGTGAGGCGCGGGGCAGGCTCACACAGCTAATGGGAATGCAGCCACGATTTGAACTCTGGGCAATGTGTACTGACCAGGCCATACGTACACCCTCCCCAAAAATGTGCAGGAGACTCCACCGATGAGCCCACAGTGTTCAGAAACGGTGCCTCCCATTAAGGATGGCAATGAGAGTTACAGCTCGCAATTCAGTGCTCCGCGGATACCTGCATGGCCCCATCCCACGGGGGATTGACGCTACCTCCACCGCGTCACGCCCCCAACCCTTCCGGGGTAGCAGAGAGGGGTCCAAGGTACTCTACGCTCACCCCCGCCCCAAGTTTCCAAACCCAGGGCTTTCACCTCCCTTGTCTTACAGCAGCCCTCACTCACAGAGCTGGAGTGCTTCCTTGGATGTCTTGGGCCCGGAGGAGCAAGAAGGCCCTTCCCAGGGTTTGGGAGAGGCAGCAGGGTGTAGGGTGTGGAGGTCTCGCTGAGAAGGGGCGGGGCCACAAGCCCAATTGTTACCCCGGGAGCCATAGCAATCAGGTCACGTGGCAGCCCCGCCCTGCTCCCCGGAGCGGCCGCGGGGCTTCCTGGCCCGTGAAGACGTGAGGTGGTCAGAGGGTTTCCAGCGGAACCCTCGGCTCTCGGGCCGGCCCTTTGGACTCCCTTTCCACCTCAAATATCCTCCTCTACCTCTCGTCTTCATTTTAAAGATGGGGACATTGGGTCCACAGAGCTTAATGCCCCCAGAGTTAGGACGCACAGGCAGAACTCGAAGCAGAACCCGCCCCCCAAACCCTGGGGGGGGGGGGCCGAGGTGCCCTCGGGGTGTTGGCAGGTGTCTCATAACTGGACGCCCCGCCCGGCGCTTCTTTGGTTTTCGAAGGCCACAGCTGGAAGCCAACCAGGTGCCCCGCGGAGACGCGCCGAGGGGACAGCGCATCCAGGCGGGAAAGCCACTTGCCCAGGGCCGCTGAGCGCCCCGGCGGAGGAGCACCACGGCGTTCAGACCTATTGGCGCGCACCAGTTGCGTCGTGGAGCGGTGCCCCTAGCGACGGCGGTCTGTGGGGGGGGGGGGAGCGGCGCGCGCTGATGACGTCACGTAACGGCGCTCTTAGCGACGGCGGTCACTAGGAAGCGATCGCGCTGTGCTGTAGCATGGATGCGACCTCTGCTCCGCACCGCATTCCCCCGGAAATGCCCCTCTACGGGGAGACGAACCACATCTTCGAAATGATGCAGGTGACCTGGACAGCCTCACCCTGTGGCGACAGTGGGCGGAGGCCGTGGAACCCCTGGGGCGGTACCAGGGGGCGCGCCGGCGAGCGGGCAACAGGGGGTCCACGTTTGTTAGCCCCGAGGTTGCCTAACTTGGGGTGTCTGACTCTTGTACCGCCGTGACCCTGAGGGTTCCTCGATCTGAAGACAGCCCGCCCCTGTCCCGCGGGCCCAGGGAAAAGAAGAGGGGCATGCCGTCCGGGCCAGAATAAGGTCCGGCTCTGCGCCAGCCGGCTGGAGGACCTGGAACAAGGCCGTCCCTTTCCCAGTTCCTCCATGTGTGCAGTGTCCCGCTGCAAGAGGTGGTCTCCGGAGGGCGCCCGCGGCTCTGGCAGTCCCTTCCGTCTGCAGTGCAGGCTTCCGGGCTGGGCAGTGCCCGAGTTCAAGGTGGCATGCCCATCCTCTCAGAAAGCCGCCTCCTGGGGCAGCATCCCTGCGGTTTGGAGAGCAGCGTTTCCCATCCGGCCCTTCCTTCTCAGGGCCAGGTACTCCTGGCCTCTCCCAACTTCTCCTCCTTGTTCCTTACCTCGCTGGCCCCCCTCCCTGTGCGACCTCAGGCAGCTCGGTGCCCAGCGTGTGTGTAGGTGTCACTTCTTCCCCTCCTGGAGAGAAAGGCTTTCAGGAACTGTCCAGCACTCAGATTCTGAGGGCCAAGGGGAAGCCGGGGCCCAGTTTCCAGAGCATTTGTCTGCTGCTCTGGGTCTGCCCCACCCCCCAGAGGCTTCACCCTGACCCCTGCAGCCATTTGAAGCTGACCCGCACACAGGAGAGCAGAGCTCAGTGTAAAAACCCTGAGTCTCCGACTGTCCAGCAAACATAGGCTTCCTTTGGAGGGTGCTAACTGACGAAGGAAAAAGACGGAGATCTGAAATTGAGTGACCAGTCTAAGTAAAGAAAATGGCGAGCTGAGTTGCAAGTCCTCAGGCATGGGGGTGGAGGGTAAAAGAGACCAGGGAACACCCTGGTCTGCCCGAGAGAGCTCAGCACGTCCCCACCGTGACTGTTGGAAGGTGCAGCCCCAGAAAGCTCAGTCCAGCAGCTCCAGTCCTGTCATTGCTCCCGCCACGGTTTTTTACCATTTCCACTTTTATAGTAGTTTTAGACCCACAGGAACCTACAGAAAGTAAAGTTCTGGTGTGCCGTTCCCCTCGCTCCCCAGTAATAACATCCAAGTAAACAACAGCACGTTGTCAAAACCGGACAGTGAGGGCAGTACAAGGCTGTGAGCCTAAGTAAGGCCTATACTGGACTCCACCCACTTCTTTCAGTGCGCACACCACTCTCTGCGGTTGGGTGGCCTGCATAGGTTCACGTACCTGCCAGCACATTTCCATTGAACTTCACCATTTCTTTAAGTCAGCCCCCTTTCAGAAAATGAAGTAACGTATTCTTTCTCACCCTAAGCAATATCCTTGAAATCATAGGTCTAATGTGTTTCTCCCATACACATTACATATGCTACTATTTAAAAGGGACATTGAGCCTCTTTGGCTGCAAACCGTCAAATGTCGTCTCATGCCACTTCACCAGTGATCTATGACCAGGGAGGCCACACAGCCGTGCAGTTTCCGGCAGGGTTCGGGGTGTGGGGGGCGGGAAGCTCAGGCCCAGGGAAGGACTTGCTGGTGAGTTTTGGAGTAGGCCCAGGACTTTTCCCAGCTCAGTGCCTTTTACTGACCCACACCCTCTGCCCCAAAGGGCTGAAGCTCTCTGCCTGCCCCTGGGGCAGAAGGGGGCTCCTGTTTCGCCTGCCCAGCTCCTCGTGGCTGGTGGGCTCGTGTCTGTGCCTTTTGTTCTGGAACCATGGAGGCTCTTTCCATGGAATTCAAGGGCCAGGCCATCCCAGGACTATTTGGGTATCTAGCTGTCAAATACTCTGCCTCACTGCAGGGGGACTTTGGTGGTAATGACCATGTCCCCGGCAGACATCTGCACTGGCACTTACTGTGATTGTCCTGGGCACAGGGACAGGGTTAGGCAGTGGCAGGTCACACGGGGGCTACAGGAGGGTGCGGCAGGATTTACCCAGTGACTGGTCAGGAAGGTGTGCTGGCACTGAGACCTGGGGACGGGGGAGCCGCCTTTGCTCAGGCTCAGAGGTGCATGGGAAGAACGGAGAGGGCTGGTCTGCGAAGCACAGAGAGGGCCCTGGGACTGACGGGGTCAGGGGCACGGTCCCGCGCAGCCTCTCCATCAGTGCCTCCGCTCACTGGACCAAGTAGCTGCCATCTGGGGCAGGGGCTGGGTCCCAAGGGGAAGGTGTGTTGGTGGGGTACAGTGGAGAGATCAGGCCTCCTAGCTGATGTCCATGGTGACAGGTTGCTGGGCCACCCAAGCCAGGGTGTGGGTGCCCCTGCAGATGTTAATCACCTGGGTGTCTGCCCTGTGCCCACAGAACATGCTGGAGCAACTCCTGATCCACCAGCCCCGAGATCCGATCACGTTCATGATCCATCACCTGCAGCGGGACAATGATCATGGTGAGCACTCTCGCCCCTCCCCTGACTCCCTCCTCCCTCCCCTCCCCTCCCCCTCCTCTCCCTCCCCTCCCCCCACCAGGGAACAGGAAGGCTCTGAACGACTCTCTCCTGCTGTGTGTGGAGGGAGATCAGAAGGGGGTGGGGAGAAGTTTTGATAATTTGGGCTGGCGGTTAATTGAAAAATGCCTTAATTTTGGGGGGAGCACAACTAAAAAAGTCTCTCGCCGAGCTGTTGAAAGGAAAACCTCGGAGTGGCCCGCAGAATCAATGATTAATGCTTCTGCACGCCCCAGCTGAGGGCGCCTGTTGGGTTTAAGCTCTGCGATCATTTGGCAGGTGGAAATTCGGTTTCTGGTCCGCCCAGACAGCAGCACTCGGGCTTTTCCTGCTGGTCGTGATACCGGCACCCGTTAACGAGCTCTGGCTCTCCCCACGCCTTGGCCTGAGCACAAGTGGGGTGGACCCCAGGCCAGCGCTCGCACCGGGGAGTGGGACAGGCCGAGTGGGATGGCCGGTCCGAGGTGCTGGGAGGGGAGGAGTGTCCATTCCGTGTGAGCCTTCGGCAGTGCCGGCTCCTGGAGCTTTGATGTTTCTTTCATCAGAGCAGCGCTGCTTTGAAGGGGCCCCCCAGACCCCCGTGAGACCCCCGCTCGGCACGGCCTGTCAGCCGAGGCCTGAGATGCCCTGTGGTGGGGTTCAGAGGCCTCAGATGAGACAGGATGCTAAGTAGCTTAAAAAAGAGAGGAGTGGGGGAAACTGCAGGCCTGCAGGTGAGCTGGTGCACCTGGCCTTGCCCTTGAGCTGTGCCCTCAGCTCTCTCGGTGTTGGTGCTGGTGTCGGCCTTGGCCACAGAGCACTGGTGGGGTGGGGGCAGGGACAGTTCGCAGAGCTTAGCCAAAGAGGCCAGTGGTGCCCTTTTCTGAGGCTCCGGTTGGGCGTCGACTGTGAGCCTGTGTGCCCCAGGTGCATGCGCAGCTGTGACCTCGTGGGGCCAGGAGGGCCACCTCCGGTTGTCCTCGAGTTCCCGGTGACACTCGCTTTGCTTCTCGGAGACTTGTTCTAAAAGGCCTCCGGTTCACACGTGCGGGCACCTACCTGCTTCGTGGGTGGGTGTTAAACCACCTTCCTTCCTGGGGGGCCGGGAGCACTGCTGTGGGGCCCAGCACCACTGGCAAGGCCAGGGGACTGAGAGGTAGAAGGGTAAAGCAAAGTGACAGCAATGCTCAGTGGTGCCCTCTGCTGCTGGGACGAGGTCCTGTGTGTCACCCCTCTCTGGGACCCCCAGGAACCTGGGCAGGAGCCGAAGGACAGCATCGCCAACCTGTTCTGCTCCGTGGCTCTCCAGTGGGTGGGCCGTGGCATCCAGACCTGCACGGCGCAGCTCAAGCGGGGGCGGCCCCCTTCCTGTCCTGAGGAGCCACAGGCCAGGTTTCTGCCCAGGTGCCGTCAGAGTCACTGGCTGCCACACCTTGGGTGGCAGCTGAACTGCTTAAGAGCGAAGAAGAGGGAATTTGTGGCTTCCCTCCCAGGCCCAAGCCTCCACCCCCAGTGAAGCAGGCAGAGGGGAGGCAGGGAGGGCACCCTGCGTCTGTGGTTTTCTAGAAGTGGGGGGAGCCTATTCTAGAAGAGGACAGGAGGCGTGGGGAGGACCCCTGACATCCAGCGAGCATTCCCACGCCCTAGGCCGGGGCTCAGATCCTCCTGCCTCCTCCCAGCTGCGTGGTGGCTGGAAGCCGGGCTCTCAACTCTCTGCTTCCTGGGCCTGGGTGTGGGGTGGCCTGTGGCTGGTGGGGAGGGAGGGAAGGCTCTGGACTCATCCCGTGAGTGAGCACAAGGTGGGGAGCCACCCGCACACGGCTGGCAGCCCCTGCCCCGCGAGGGAAGCAGATGTGGTACAAAGTGAGCATTTAGAGTAGCCCAGGGCTATATTAAAGTGGGCGACGCTGTGTATAATGGCGTGTTCCGTTTTTTATCAAACGTTTGTCCAGGAAAGCTGTGTATTAGGGCTCTGGTAGCTGAGGGTTTTCTTGTGAATTTTAAATCGTGCTCCTAGTTAAACCTCAGAAGGATCTGTGGATGGAGAGGGGTTTGAATTCCTTTGAAGTGGTTTGAAGAAGTTGATTACTCCTGGCAGTCAAGCCGCCTTTATGACACTGTCTATAAATAATTACTCAGGAGCAGGGCTGCAGTTTCACGGTGTTAGATTTCAAGGAACTGAAATTAATCAGACAACCGTGTGGGAGCAGTTGAGGGCTGAGGATGTTCCCTTGTAGGGCGCGTCCAGAGACGCGCACAGTGTGGGTGTCATGGGGGCCTGGACGGGCTTCCGCAGCCTCTGAACCCGTTGCTTGGCAAGACGAACGTGCCCCCTGGGAGTCAGCTTGCCCCCACATGCCCTTGTCCTCCGTTCCGCAGCCCTGGGCCCCTCGGGGCGGAGGCCTTCGGGGAAGCTCTGGCTGGAGGGGCAGCGGGAGCCAGACCGTGTGCCTGCGCCTTGCCCTCCCTCTGGCTTTGCCAAGCCGGCCTCCTCCCCAGGGCCCACACGCTCTTTGCTTCATGCAAGAGGCCCTTCCTCCCGCCACTGCGCTCCTCGCTGCTCGGACACTGCCCCCCAGCCTTACGTGGCACCTCAGCCCCTCTCTCTCCTTACCCCCTCACCTGACCGCAGTCCCCAAAGCCGCTTCACTTCCAGACTCTGTCTGTCAGCAATGTCTCCCGTGCTGAGGGGGCGCTCATCGGGGGAGGGCCCTGAGGCCTCGCCCGGGTCCCAGGGCTCTGCAGAGAATGGGTGGTGTTCTGAGGTCGCTGGTCAGGGAGGGAGGTGCTCTCCCTGGTGGCCCCGCTGGGCCTGGCCCCTGGGTGACGGATGGCACGTGCAGTGTCTGGGGCCCAGCACGGCAGTGCTGTGTTCCTTGCACCGCACCAGGCGCTGCTGTTCCTGGTCGGGGGGCCCTGGGCCTGGTCCTGCCCGTGCAGGTTCTGTGAGCCCTGCTGGCCCTGGATTCAACCGCTTCCTGTGGCTTGCTCCCCCGAGAATGCTGAGTGGCAGAGGGTGTCTTTGTCAGGAGGCAGCCCTGGTGATGACGAAGGTGACACCACTCAGTGACCATAGAAAGAGAGGGGACAGTGGCGGAGGAGGCACTGCAGGCCTCGCCGTGCATGTGGCTCCTCCCAGTGCTGGCCCTGCCGTAGACCAGCCTGCCGTTTGGTGGGGGACAGTGATGCCGCCGCTGTTCGACTGTGGCACATAAGTTGGGGCGCAGTGAGGAGCACAGTGCTGACGGGAGCTGACTGGTGCGAAGGTGGGGACAGGGAAGCGCCTTCCGGAGGAGCCGGGCGGCTCCTGACCAAGGGAGAGGGGTTGTTTGGGGCTGCCGGGCGGTCTGCGTCCCCAGGGAGCGCCTTCCGTGGAGGTCACGGCCCTCCAGGTCCTAGAAGACTTAGAGGGACACAGAGCCCTGTGGCCACAAGCAGAGTGGACACACGCAGCCAAGCCTGCCTTGGAGAGCGCTGAGCTGGAGCGTCGCAGCACATCGTGGCAGGCGGCCAGGCAGCGCCAGGTGCTCTGGGCCCCCCTTATCCCGCCTCCCTGCCCCCATGCCCTTGACCCACGTCACCACCCCCAGGGGCATGTCACCTGCATCTCACCCACAGCTGGGGCTCAGGACCCAGAGTGTTCTAGAGCGGTCAGTTGGCGACACACAGGAACCACGTGGCAGCAGAAAGCTGGGGAGCGCTGGACGTCCACCGTGTTCTGGAGGAGAGAGCAGCTCCATGGTGGGAGGCAGGCAGCGGAGGGCGGTCTCTGTCAGGCTCGTCCACTGAAGTTAGCCTGGGACTGTCCCCAGGGGCCCCGGCCCACCTGGCTTTTCTCGGCCCCAGACAGCCTGGAGCAGAGCAGGGAAGCGGGGCTCAGAGAGTGTTTGTGGAGTGAATCTCAATGATTTTGAACTTCCCTTCCACATTTTTCCTGGAAAAGAGACGGCGTGGTGACTTTGGGCAAAGGCCCCTCAACCCAGCAGCTCAGCTGAGTGTGGTGCTGACCTTCCCACTGCGGCCCAGTTGGCCCCTCGAGCCCCTTCTCGGTGTCCCTCCCAGACCAGGGGTCATGCAGGGCTGTCCTCTGTGTGAACGGGTCCCCTCCCAAAGGCCTGGCAGAGATGAGCTCTGCTTGTGACGTCAAAGGCCCAGCTGAGCTGGAGGGAATGTCTGTCCAACCTCCCCAACCTCTGTTCTTGCCCTTCCATCCCCACCTTGTGGAGGTGTGGCCATGGTCAAGTTGGTGGACAGTGATCCCTCCTCCGTCCAGTCGCTGGGACCTTGTCCTGCATTCTAACCCAAGCACAGAGCTTCCACACTCTTTCTAGGATGCTGGCCTTTTCCGGTGGCCAGCGCTACCCCCCACCCCGTAGACTGGTAGCCCGGCGGGCACCTGCAGGGCCAGGGCCAGGGCCAGGCCGGGGAGCAGTCCAGCCAGGCCCCGCGCAGGGAGGAAGCAGCCGGGGTTTCTGTCTGCATGGAAATGCCGGTGCTGGGGACAAAGCCTTCCCATCTGGGGTCTTATAAATCTGGCCCACACCTTGCAGGCTTTGCCCCGTTATTTCCCTCCGTAACATGATGGGGATACAATTTGCTAAATAAGAGGGCATAAATATTAAAGAAAGAAGCCTCGAAGGTCAATTTACATAAAATACAGCTTTATTTGAGCGCCTGTCCCCAAGACAAAGTCCCTGTTTAAAATGCTTTATGGTGTTTGAAATCTCGGTTGTCCCCGATATTTATTGGTTTGGCAAGCAAGTTACCATGTCCGTGTCCCCTTGGAGACGGGGACATAAACCGTCTCAGAGATCGCTCACCTCTCCCAGCGCAGAGAGGGCTCCTCGGCAAGGGAGCGCGTTGCGAACGGCGGGGTGACAGACGGGCCTGTCACATGCAGAAAATGAGATCTGGGGAGGGGAGGCGTAAATCCTCCCAGCGCAGGCAGGCAGGGGGGCCGCTCTGTCTGCCAAACGGTGACTTTCGAATCTTCTTACCCTGCAGTGCCGAGGATCGTAATACTAGGTCCGCCCGCCTCTGGGAAAACCTCCATCGTAAGTGCATCTCGTTTGGCATTGTGCCCCCCACCGGCGCTCTGTCCTGCGCAGCTGTGGGGAAGCCGCCCCCTCCAGTGTCCATCACAGCCGCCTGTCCCTCTTTTCTCTTCTTTTTTTTTTTTTTTAGATTTTATTTATTTAGAGAGAGGGGAAGGGAGGGAGAAAGGGAGAGAAACATCAATGTATGGTTGCCTTTCATGTGTCCCCTGCTGGGAACCTGGCCTGTGTCCTAGGAATGTGCCCTGACTGGAAATCCAACCGGCGACCCTTTGGTTCGCAGGCCCATGCTCAATCCACTGAGCCACACCAGCTGGGGCTTGAGCTTATTTCTTATTGCAAGAGGCTGTGTGTGTTCACAGTAGGAAACCTAGAAAATACAAAAAGAAAAAAAAAACAACAAAAAACTGACCCCGAAACACGATTCCCCAGCCATCCGGAGCCTCGCCCTGCTTGGCCAGGCCCGGATGTGCCGGACGTGCCGGACGGAGCTGCCCGGCGTCCTCGGCTGCAGGGCGCTGCCCGGGCCCCTCCGTGGGCCTCAGGGCGGCCGTGGGGCAGGAGTGCTGACCAGGAAGTGGGCGTGGAGTCCTCAGACTTGTTCTTGAAATTTTGATGACGAACCAGCCCAACCAATCAGAAAAGCGGGGATACTCAGCCCCCTAGTTGCTTCGGGAATCTGTCCTTCTGCCACGCTGCTTCGACGGCGCTCGCTCCACTTTGAAGACGGCACGGCCTGGAAGACACAGTGAGTGCCTCGCTCCTCTGTCCTGAAGCTGGTGAGCTGTGGCCTACCTGTGGTTTCAGTCCTTAAGCTCCTTTTTCTTTTTTTAAGGCCCAGAAACTTCTTAAAGTTCTCATCACCTGAGATGGCCCTTTTTCTGTCTTTGAAAAGCTTGCCCGCCCTGGCTGGTGTGGCTCAGTGGATTGAGTGTCGGCCTGCCAACGAGAAGGTTGCGGGTTCGGTTCCCAGTCAGGGCACATGCCTGGGTTGCAGACCAGGTCCCCAGTAGGGGGCGCGTGAGAGGCAACTGATCCATGTTTCCCACACGTTGATGTCTCTTTCCCTCTTTTTCTCTCTTCCTTCCCCCTCTCTATAAAAAATACATAAGTAAATCAGTCTTTAAAAAAAGCCTGCTTAGCCTCAGTCCACTGTCCCTGCGTCGTCCGTGAGCCCTCATCAGGGGCCTGGAGGGTGCAGTGGGCGGTGCCCCTAATTAGCTGGCACTCAGGATGGCCAGTCCATGCACAGAAGAACGCACATCTGCTCTGCGTCAGCGTGTGTGGCTGTTCTACGCCCCTGCCTGCCTGTCTGTCTGCCTGCCTGTCCATCCACCTGTCAGTCTCTCTGTCTTCAGTTCTCCACTTTGTTCTGCAGGCTCTGGCTGTCAGCCTCCGGCGCTTTCTGCACCCCTCCGACCCTTCCAAGCACAGGGCTCCCTGCCTGGTGGGGGCCAGCGTTCCCAGGGCGCTTCGTGAAAGGCAGGCTCCCGGACTCTCCTCCAGACGCCCCCCCTCAGCATCTCCTGGGGAGGCCCTGGAGCTCGTGGAAAGTACCCCCTGAGATGGCACAGAGCTTGGGACCTGGGGTGATGGGACCTGGGGTGATGGCCCCTGCATGAGCCAGGCCCCCGGGACCGTGCTGAAGCGGAGTCAGCGGCCCAGCGGCCCAGCGGCCCAGGGTCAGGACGTGCCTCTGGCAAAGGGCCTTTGCCGTGGAGATAGCCCACATGCTGGGCCCGCTCCCGCCCTCCCTTGCTCTGGCTCTTCTCTGACCACAGTGCGGAATTTAGGAAACCTGGGCCACCCGAGAGTAGAGACCTCCTTTTGTCCCCCCGACCTGACTGTCCCATGGGGTCGTGGCCCAGCAGTGCTCCGCTGTTTCTCCAGTCCCCTACCGCCTTTCGGTGGATTTGCCGTCCGTCCCAACCCAGCCCCCGCCCCCTGTCTGGGACGTGCAGAGTCTAACTTTGCACTCAGATGATACACAGTAACATCCGAACAGAGGGCCTCAAAGGGCCGTTTGCTGATAGCGCTGCCCGCTTGTCCGAGTGGGGAACAGAGGGAGTGTGTGCGCACAGAGGAACCCTCAGTTTGTGCGTGCCCAGGGCCCTTCAGGACCTGCTGCCAGAATGGTCAGCAGGGGAAGCTGGGCATCTGGGTCCTTTCCCTGCATTTCCTACTACAGCTTCCCCTGGTTCACAGCCCGTGGGCCCCAGGCTCAGAGAGCCGTGTGCAGGGCAGCCAGCAGCAGCAGGGCTGCCAGGTGGAGGCCGCCCTGGTTGGAGAAGGGGGCTGCAGGCCGAGCTCCCTCGCTGGAGTGCCTCGTGGCCTGTCTCCTTCGGGCAGGAACCACCCCGCTCCCCCGCGGCCCGTGTGCCCCTGCAGGACCCGGCAGGGCCTGGGCAAGCTGACCAGCGCCCAGCGTCACAGCCTCCACTCCATCTCTGGTCCTCTCCGCAGGCGATGTGGCTCTGCAAACACCTGAACAGCAACCTTCTCACCGTGGAGAACTTGATAGGGAAAGAATATTCCCCTCTGGCCGCCGCCGCCAGGAAGCATTACCAGAAAATGAAGGTAGGACTGGCCCCGAGGGGGACGGCACTCCTGGGGCCCACCCCCCACTGTCCCCGCAGCTTCCCGGTGCCTGTTGGGCTCGGTGGGAGGAATTGCTGGGGAAAACGAGGCACAGGCGATGTGACAGAAGGAAGGGGAGAGCTCTTAGAGGGCACCGGGCTGGTGGGCGCGGTGGGCGTGGCTTCAGAAAGAAAGTGGGCGTGTCCTCTGCAGATGATAAACTCTTCAGGGTGCTGGGGGCAGGCTTATTTCCAGGATAAAGATGAGTTTCTCAGGTCTGTGGAATTCTGTGGAGAGGAGGGAGTTGGAGGAAGTGCCTCCTGGGTTTCATAGGCTAATTACCAGCATATTTTGGACTAGAACGAGCACTTTCACGGGTGTCTGGTGGGGGGCTCTGCTCTGGCAGCTGCAGTGGGGGGGGGGTGAAAGGCCGGGACTCGGGGCTGAGCAAGGCATGACAGGTTTGGAGCCAAGGGGCGGAGGTGGGGGCGAGTGGCCTTGGTGAAGGTGGTGCCCACCAGGCCGGGCCAGGTGCTCCTTTGCTGTCGTGTGTAAGTCGTCTGTGGGTTTGGAGTCCTTTCTGCACGTGGACAACACCGCAGACCCGACACCCCCTGTCAGTCTCGGCTCTGCACTCGCTCGGACGCAGGGTTCCCGTAGCTGCTGCTGCTGACCCAGACTTCTCCGGGGTGGGCATTTCCACATGGCTTCTCAAGCGCTCCCTAATCACCCCCGGCGCGCCCCGGGAACAGCCAGGGCGGGCTCCCCCTCTGCACCTCTGGGCATGTCCAGCCAGTGGGGGATCCCAGGTGCCCCACAGCGAGCACAGCCCAGAGCACGGGGCCCAGGACTCCCCAGAGCCCAGGCTGGTCTGACGCTCAGTGTGCTCAGGACGTGCCCCTGGGCCCTGCAAGTCCTGGGGCAGCTTGGGCCGGCGGCAGAGGCAGGGGCTCCCTGCAGGGCACCTCTGTAGCGCTCAGGCCACGTGCCACAGAGCCCACCAGGGCAGGGACACTCCTGAGGACGCCCGGGCTTCTGGGGACAGGATGGGGGGCAGCATTGTTGTTTGTTTTTAGCTGTTTACAGCGAAATGTGTGAAGACGCTCAGAAGCAATGGGGCGGGTGTAGGGCCCATGCACCCGCCGCCCAGCCCCAGCGCCCCACTTCACGGCAGCCCAGTTTCACGACGCCCCCAGCCGCCGCTCTGGGTTGTTTGAGAGAAGTGTGTTAGGCTGTATCTGCTGGGGGACCGAGTCTGGCCAGAGAATGGCCAGACTGGCACCTGAAGTGGGTCTCCGATCCCCAGCCTGCAGCAAGCTGGGGACTGGCCCTCTGTCTACAGTGACCGGCCTGGCCCGGGGGCAGTGGTCTGCCACTCAGACTTGGGGGTCAGACTGTGGTCCCTCGGACCCTCAGCCCCAAACGCCAGAACTTAATTAACAAGGGCCAGCCTCCCAGTTTTTGTCCCCACCTCCCCTTACGACCAGCCAGAGAATGCTTCCCTAGCCAAGTCCACGGGACGCCCGCCCCTTGGTGGCCGCCTCGGCTTCCCGGGCCATCGCCTCCACCAGGACACCCCCGAGTACCCTCTTTCCCCACTGGAGCGCCCTGGGCTCCTCAGCTTGCCGTGCATCTCTGCCGGCCCCTGGACGTGGCCGGCCCCTGGCCAGAGCCCATGCTGATGAAAGGGCCTTTGGTGCCCTTGTGGGGCGGCTTTCATTTCCTTCCTCCCGCCGAGACCCCGGGACGTCCTTCATGGAGTTCCAGGGGCCTCACTGAGGAAGCCCGCCCTGGGCTCTTCGGTCAAACCTCGCCTCCTGGGCCCCTCCTCTCGACTCCTGGGCCCTCCCCCTGCCGCCCCCCGGCCTGCCTCTCAGAGCCCAGAGAGCTTCTGCCACACTGTCCCCGTGAGTCTGCTCGCTCGGGCAGATGGACAGACAGGTGGGTGACCCTGAGCAGCCGCAGAAACTGAGAGCCGTCTGGAAAGGGCTCTCTGCTCAGCTCTTACTTGAACGCCAGTCCAGGGCCGCCCCCAGCAGAGCCCTGGGGGGCGAGGGGAGTTGGCCGGACTGGGGCCTCTGCTCCCCGCCCCCCAGCTCTGCTCCGACAGAGGTTCGTGCTGCAGAGGAAAGTGCCTACAACACCCCAGCCAACATCGCCCGAGGGGACACGGGGACGCCAGGGCCCTGAGACTGGGCCTGGGAGTGGGACCGCTTTGGCCCGAGTCATTCCCGTGAGAGGGCCCAGTAGCAGAGCAGCCAGGGTCTGGCCCTCTGGCCCTGCTGCCTCTGACCACCGGTGTGCTGTTCGGGCCTGGGGACGGCCGCCTCCAGGACAGCCCCCAGGGTTCTGCTGGGCTGGTAGGGCAGGAAAAGCCCAGGTTGGAGCCCACGCAGCCGGTGCTGCCCTGGACGGCACGGAAGCAGGCTGGGTGTCACTTTGTCACCATCGGCATGACAGGGGGCTTCGCTGGGCTCTGTCAGTCTGTCCTTGGTCCTCCCTGAAAGCCAGGTCTTGGGGCCGGGGTGGGAGAGCGTGACAGGGCCCTGGAAGGAGGGCCCAGTTCCCGCAAAGGCGGTTTGGCTGGACTCCGCTGCCCTGTGACTCGTCAAAGCTGGCGTGGCATCAGGGTACCTGTCACGAAGACGGCACGGCACCACACTCCCCCGCCCCTGGGGACCTGGAGTCTTTGAGGCCATGTTCTCTGGCTGGTGCACTGCCCCCTCCCCCACACCCCTGCACCGCCCACATCCCCACGTCCCAGGACCTGCATGAATGCCGCCTCCCAGATGGGTGCTGTCAGGGGAGGGAGAGGGGTCTTGGCAAACTGGCCTCAGGCGGGGACAGGCCCTGGCACCCTGGGTGTGGAGTGGGCGCCAGGTGCAGGAACGAGCACCGGGCTTCTGTCCACATCCGTGTGTGGCCTTGGGCAGGGTCAGGAGGGCTGCCTGCTGGTGGCGGGGCTTGGGGCGGAGTCCCAGAGGGAACCTGGAGGCGCGGGTGGGCCTGGGGAGCCGCACCTGGGTGGGAGCACAGGTTGGTGTGGACACGCGGGGCCATCAAGAGGTGGCCCGTGGGGAAGGAGCTCGGGGGAAGGGGGCGGGGCAGCGGGGGCAGGGACCCGGAGGAACTGGGCCCGCGGTTCTCAGTGGAGCCCACGGCCTGCCAGCTCTGTGCCCCGGTGGACCCAGCACCCAGGCTGGGCCTCACTCTGCGTGTCTCTTCCCTGTAGTCCGTGCCCAGCACGCTGCTCGTTGGGCTGGTGGAGGAGCGCCTGAATGAGGAGGACTGCAAGCAGCGGGTGAGCGACCCTGCGGGGAGGGGACCCTGCGTTGTGTCAGCTGGGAGGCGGGGTGCTGTTGCCGGAGGGAGGGAGGCTGAGCAGCGTGTGTTCACGTCCTGAAGGGGAGGTGACCGGAGGCCTGCGGAGAAGGGTGTGGCGGACAGACCTTGGAGGGAGGAGACAGGAGAAGGTGGAATCTGGGGTGTCCGCCAGGGCATTTGCGGGAAAGAGCTGGCCCGTCCCAAGGGGTCCCAGGGGCGTCATAAGTGAAAGCACAGCTGTGGGGGCAGGGTGGGGTAGAGGGTTAAGGCAACCAGCAATTCAGGGCGCTGGGGGCCCTGGACCTGGAGGAGCAGAGGGGAACCCCACACTCTCCATCCATCCTCTGGTCCCCTGCAGTGCCCTCTTTGGAGGTTGGACCAACGGCTGCTGGCCCAGGATGTGCTCATTCGGCCGTCTGCAGTGGCACCTCCATGCAGCCCAGCAGGCCTGGGTTTGGAGCGCTTCCGGGCTGGCGAGCTGTGGAGCTGCTGGGAGGGAGAGGGCGGCACTCAGCGGACACGGGAGCCCCGCGCCCTCCCCACGCACTTCGCCCTGTGTCTCGCTGCCCCTGGCTGTTCCCGAGTGATAGCTGTCACTTCATGCACTTCATAGTAAACCCGTGACCTAATAAGTGAAGTGTTTCTCTGAGTCCCAAGCTGCTCTAGCAAACCAATGAGCCCCGGGGTGGGGGTGGGGGTGGGGGCAGGGGCGTGGTCCTGGGCACCTCTGGTTTTCGGAAGCACAGGTGGCTGTCATTACTGAGTGCCCTCTGTGACCATATCGGGCAGCATAACTGACACTTGGCCGACTCTGTGCCACTTACGCTGACGTCTAGAATGATGGGACTTGTCCATGTTGTTAGTTTTGGTGGCGGGACTACCAGCCTGACGAGGGAGGCCTGGGGCCCGGGCCTGGCACATGCCCACAGGCGGGCGTACTGTGCGGAAAGGCTGCGATGGTCACCGTGTGCACAGTGACAGGAGCCCGGGGGCCTTTGTCATTTAACCTTCATGCCGGCACCGTGCGGTGGGGCTGTGGTTGCCCTGGTTTAGGGTGCAGCGTCTCAGACTGGCGGGGTCTCGCTCCAGGTTCCTCGGTCTGTCCCCAGCCCAAGTGGCCCGTGGAGCCAGGCTTTGGCCACTGTCCTCATCTTGCCCATGCTCACCATGTCCCTCTGGGCAGGGGTCCCCCTTCCTGCGGCCTCACCGTTCAGATGCCATGGTTACCTGCAGAGTGAAGAAATCGCCCCTTGCTTTGTTGTGCATTTCCACTGAGCCGCAGGGGCGTGGGAGCCCCCCTCGCCCCTTACCCCTCGTTGGCTGCGGAGGCAGGCCTGGAGTGGCGGCGAGGCTGCTTGTTCTGTGCTCTGGTTGTTCAAACACAAGACAAAGCCTCATCCAAAGTAAACAGGCTTTCCTGCTTTCGGGAGGAAAGTGACACACATGCATATTCATTTCTATGGTAATTATTGTTATTTAGGCACATAGGGACCAGAACCGGTAATTCAGAGCACAAAGAAGATGCAGCGGAGGGTGTTCAGGGAGAAGTCGTGCATTCGTAACCCGTCAGGGCTCCGCGGTTAATGCTGATTTTTCCCTCTCGGAGTAATGCAGTCTCTTTGAAGAATTTCTTTGAAGTGACCGTCAAATACATCAGAATGAGAAATCTGCACTTCGCACGGGCCTCTCGGAGGGAGGAGGGCTCTGCCTGTTGGGGACCCCTTGGCCTTTCTTAGGGACAGGACAGCCATGTTTTGAAGTCCGAGGGTGCGAGTCCTTCACGGCAGTTGTCCAGGGCACGGGGGCTAAGAAACTGGACAGGAAACTTGGGAGGAAAGGCCCTGAACCGCGGGGGTTCCGAGTCTTTGTGTGCGCGCTCCGCTTGTCTGGATTACTAAGCACTCCCTCCCTCCTTTCCCGGGCCCCCAACCCAGCTCCCCACCCCTCCCCAGGCCCGTGGCCTGTTGCCGCAGAGGGCTCCCTTCAGGATGGAAGGGATTTAGCTCCTGACTGCAGCACATTCACAGGGTTCAAATTCAGAAGTTCCCAGGTCCCCTGTCCCCCTGTCCCCACTACGTGGTCCTTCCCCTGGAGGTGGCTGATGTTGGCACTCTCTTGAAAAAAGACTATTTGATACACAGAGAAGTAGTTTTCTTTTTCTTTTTTCAAGATGTCCTTTTTTTTAGAGAGAGGGGAAGGACTCCACCCCAGCAGACCAGGGAGAGAGCCCCTCCCTCCCAGCCTGTGCAGAAGGCTGCCAAGTTGGAGAAGCCCATGGTGGGCAGCCAGGGGTGGGGCCGGACCCGAGGGCAGCCCCCCGCCAGTGAGAAGCCAGAGCCTTTCTCATGCACCTGCGTGATGTGAAGCTGCTCTTCTCAGTCCGACCTCAGGGGAGAGTGCGGCCCACCGACCCAGCAGCCGGGGAGCTGAGCGGAAGCATTCTGACCTCGGCCCGTGGACATGTTGTGTTACGCCCCTGAGAGCAGGCTGACTGCCACTCAGCCGCAGAGGACATGCTACCTGCTCTTCTCACGGCTGGAGGTGCCCCTCCCCCGAGCTGGGCAGCTGCATTCCAGTCCCCGGTCCCGGGTTCAAGTCACTCCTCAAGGCGGCCCCGACCACCCTGAGCAGCCCCGGGCGAGGCCGGGTTCCTGCTGCCTGAGCTCACAGCCTCCCGCTTTCTCCTCCGGACTTGAACTTCCACAACTGTCATTCGGAATGTGAGTCCTGTGAGGGTGGGGACCCCGTCTGTCCCATTCTGCAGAACCCCCAGAACCTCCCACTGCACCTGGCACGGAGCCCAAGTTGGGAAATGTGGACGGTGACTCCCGTTCGGCGCCATGGGGCGATGACGTCCCGCCTGCCCTCACTGTGGCCCCGGGACTGGCTCGGGCAGGCAAGTGTCTGGCTAAGAGAGGCAGAGGAAGTGTCCCGGTGGTGGCCACCCTGCTGCCCAGCTGTGGGGAAGAAGGGAAGGCGCGGCCGGGTGGTGAGGGCTTGTCTGGCAGCGGGAGTTCTGGTCCCATGGACAGGCAGAGGCCGCCAGGCAGCAGCGACGTGATTTATGGGTCTGCAGGTGGCTCAGATTCCCCACCCGTGGCCGGAGCTGTCCCCCGAACCCCTGAACCTGTGGCGGCAGCCAGGGAGGAGGCAGCGGCCCTGCGGGGAGAGGTACCTAGACTGTGGTGTGTCTCTGCAGAGCGCCCTGTAATTCAGGCGGGCGTGCGGCTCCAGGCTGCGCAGCGCCCAGTTCGGAGCCAGGCTGTCTCGCCCTCCCGACTGGATGAGATTCCGAAAAGCCAAGGGCTTAGCAGTGGCCCGGCCCTGGGAGGCGTGGTTGGTGAGATGGGATGTAAAGAGGCTTCTGCTCTTTAGCAAGTTCAAAAACGAGTGCCGAGCCCACCGCTCACGGGGCCAGCGATCTGGTTACAGTGAAGCTCAGGAAGGGGAACTGGCAAGGCCAGAATGAAACCCACGCACAGTGGGGGCGGGGGCAGAGCTGGTCCATCGGGGCAGAGACACGAGTGGCACGTGGGGTGTGCCGGGCACCGCACCGGCTCTGAGGCCCTGTCTGAGTCCTTACAACCATCCACGGGTTTTCTAAAACTAAGGCTTATGGGCACCTACTGTGCACCAGGGCCTGTTCTGGGTCACGTCGGGGACAAACGGAGCAAGGAAGCAGGCAGGCGCTGTGTTTCCCGGGGCCACAGCTGAGCAGCCAAGCACCAGAAGCCCACTGTGGGTCACCGGAAGTGCGCGTGAAGACCTGGAGGGAAAGCAGACCTCCCGGAAGCCCATGTTCAAGGCGTCCGGCCCCACATGGCCCCCACTCCTTGTGGCGTCCAATGCAAAACTTGGACCTCACCCCCACATTCCCAGTGGGGCAGGTCTCTGATCACATGGTCACCCCCCACTTAACAGTGTGGGGCTCCTTTATTGCACATCGAATGCAGACTTATACTTCGCGTCCTCAGATCAACTTTTTGATCTTAATTCACATTGCGGAGACGCTCAGTTACTTCCGGATGAAGGAGGAGACAGGGCAGCGCACTGAGACTGTGGAAGCAGACTTTGAATTTCCTTGGCAGCTTTCTAGAGTCTTCCTTCCTTTGATGTTTGGCCGCAGACGCGTCCCTCCCCTTAGAACGGAGTCAGGGTCCCACCATGGCGGTGCGGACGGAGCGGGGGCACGCGGTGCGGAGGCACCAGCTGTGCGTTTGCTTTGTCCTTGTGGCATCACTAGGCTGCCATTCGTTACCCCACTCTCCTCCGAGGAGAGGAGGGACACAGGGTTTGCGGGTGTCGCCCCAGCCTCTGCCAGGCCTGGGGGGTGTGCTCCTCCCCTACAAACACGGCTGGGACGGAGAGTCAGAGAGGAGGTCAGAGCCTGCTCAAGAAACCTCTGGCGTCCATCGCAGTGAGGTGGGGGGTCTGGGGCCTGGCTGGGCGCAGGGTGGAGTCCGATGAGCACCCTCATGGGTCCCTGGCTTGCGGGTGTCTCTGGACCCCACAGTCGGCTGATTGGTGTGTTGCAGGGCTGGTTGGTGGCCATGGGGCCCGTCAGCGAGCCGAGCAGACCCAGGTGCCCGTGGGCAGCAGAGTCATGTGATGTCTCATGCACCCTCTCAGTGCCGTCGGGCGGAAAGGTGGGGGGTCAGAAACGCAGGGCAGCGCCTGACGGCCGAGCTGCAGAGGGACGGGGAGCGTGGCACTGTGGAGGTGGGCAGGAGCAGGGCAGGACCACGCCGTGGGCCCTCACCCTTGGCAGCGCTGACCCAGAGGCCGCAGCAGAGGCTGCTCTAAGAGCCGAATGCCCTGCGGGGGCGTCCAGCAGAGAGCAGCGGCCCCTTGAGCTCTGTGGTGGCGCTCAGTCAGCCCCAGGAGCGTGGGGTGGGCACCAGGCTAGGGAGCCAAGGGGCCGAGACCGCCCCACCGCCGCATTCTCCCAGACACGGTGCCACCCCTTCCTGGGCGTCA